AAGACTTTTTGAAAGCTAACGGTGTCAAGCACACGCTCACGCCGCCTTATCACCCGCAATCGAACGGGGCGGCAGAGCGTGCTGCACAAACAACAAAGAAAGCACTGCTGAAACAGTTGCTCGATGACAAAGAAAAAGGCAATACTAGGTCACTACAACATAGAATTGACAATTTTGTGTTTTCATATCGCACAACGCCGCACACGTTCATGGGAAAGACATTCGCAGAACTGTTCCTTAGACGGAAACTGCGAACTCGCTTATCGTTGCTACGGCCAAATATAAAAAGTGCAATGATTGAGAAAACTGAAAAAGTAAAAATGTGTGCCGATAAGCGTAGATCTAAGCCGAGATCTTTTGGGGTGGGCGACCGTGTACTTGTACGTTATTTGCGTGGTGATGTAGTCATATGGTTTCCTGGTAAAGTGGTTAACGTGAAGTCGCCATCCACATACTTGGTTGTCGTCGGAAGCAAAGTAAGGTTTGTGCACGCTGATCATTTGCGACGATCGTCCATTGAAAGTTCGGAGCAGCCGGAAGGTAGTCCCAAGTTAGACATGCCGCATGCCGCAGACATAGTCGCTACACCTGCTGCTAGTAACCAGAGCGGTGATCTGCCTGCACAGCCTGCACGTCACCCAAGTGGGATGCCTACCAGTAAGGAACCTCCTTGTGTCATACGGAGGAGCACGAGAGACAGGCGACCTCCTGATCGCTTCCGGTTTGATAATTTTCAATAGGAGTGTTTTGAATAATAGTTGGGGAGGGAGTGTCGTATCTGCGTGTTTATGATAACAGCATGCCATGAAGTATGCACTTTTATGTATGACGTCAGAGTGCTGTGCGCCTGCGTCCGGTGTATCTTATCTGTATATATTGAGCCCCGATTTGATGTACCACTAGTTGTTGGTCCCGAGGCTGCCTGTGTTGCACTTCGCAATAAAGTGCTTTGCCAGACTTGCATCCCGGCCCCTAAATGTAACACTGATCATATTGAACGCCGAGAAGCTGGTGGAAAGGACTGCGCCTCGAGCCCTGGCATATCCAGACAATACAAGGAAACATCAGCGGCCGGGTCATCGGGCACCTTGCTGTGTGTATTTGCATCTCGAAACTACGCCGAAATGCCGAACAGATATGCCAGCGGCCAGCCTACGTACCGACATCCTCTGTAACTAAATTTCAGAACGTGAAAGGGCACTTTTTAAACCTGTAGCAGACGATACCGTTGATACACCCAGGACAGACGAAATACTCGGCGAGCGCGGGCAGCGCGGACGACCAGCGGCGCAGCGGAGTGATTCAAAAGTGCAGGCGAGATAGCGTGGCTTGCACTATTGCCGGCGTGTGATTGGCTCCAGTCACTCGTAGCTTTGGCTGCGCTCGTACGGAAGCTGAAACGAAGTATAGGAGGAAAGCTAAGAAGGAAAATGTTGAAATTCCAAAGAGCGGCGCTGCTCCGAAGGAATCTGCTACGTCACGACTACGTAGCAAGTTCCCCAACGTTGCTAGATTACCTCCCAAATAGGCTTTGCATGCATCAACCAGGTGCACATTGAAAGATTGTTTATTTAGCTTTAAAATTAGTTTTCTTGTGTCTTTCAATGGAAGACTGGTGTTTTTGAGGTTAGGGTGCAACATGCAACACATTCAAGCTAGAAAATGAGTGCTAAAATTTAATTTCCCTAGCCCTTTAAAGGACACATGCAAAGGAAAAAAAACTTTTTTTTTAAACAGGTTAGATGGAAAAAGAATATTATAAAACAAATTTAGAACGAAGAAAAAAAAAATTTAGGGCTATATTTACGGCGCAAAATGAATTTGTAGTTGGTGCCCGCAGGAGCCGCCGCTGGTCACGTGGTAGGCCTGTGCGTCGCCGCCGCCGCAAAGTCGCGCCTCTGCCGCACGCTGAGCGTTGTGCGATGCCACTTCAATGCGCTTCTCCACGTCGCCGTCGCCATCGCCGCACAAGTTCGTCTGCTTCGAGGCGCCACCGCCGTCATCTGACCGGCGCACAGGTCTATCACGTCTGCTTGCGCTTTTTCAGGAGTTTCCTTTGGGCTCTAAAAGTTACTTATTAATCTTAGTTTTTTGCTATACTTGAAACAACGATGAATAAGTTACTTTTAGAGGCTATAGGAAGCTTCCGAAAGAGCACAAGCACCACGTGACAAATAGGCACCATGTCATGTGACAAATAAAGACCACCTTTCCCCGGCACCCGCGGGTGCCAATTACAAATTCGTATTGCGCCGTAAATATAGCTCTAAAAGTTTTCCTTTTTCATTGTAAATCCGTTTTATGACTTTTTTTTCTTAACCAGGATGCTAAAAAAAGATGTCTTTTTCCTTTGCATGTGTCCTTTAAGTAGGACACACTTTTTACAAAAAGAAATTTAACGAAAAGAAAAATGTTTGTGCAATATATGTCATTGTCAGACACATTATTGGGGAAGTTAACCCTGACGGTGGTGGAATGGCAGACGATGCCAGAGGCTGCCGCTCATCTGCTCGCACAACTAGCAGGCTGTGTCAGACGCGAGACTAGACGCACTGGGTGTCGTGAAAGGGAGACGCTAGGCTTGCGAGCGTGTTCGGCTGAGCAGCCAAGCCAAGCCGGTACTAATGGGCGGAGCCACCTATCTGTGGGCTGGGCTTAAGGTGGGTCGTGACCCCCACCTAAAATGCGCCTTGCAAAATCAGTATCTCACAAAATCATTTTATTTTCCATTAATTTTTTTTGTGTGTTATATTTGTCTTGTAGTACACTAATTTATTCTTTTTTTTTATCCTTTTTTTATGTTAGGGCTGTAGCTAGGTTACAAGCACAAGAGCATGAGACTTCTGCTTTAAAACATTCTTCCATAAAATGAGCGCTTGTTCTGGAAAGGCAGCATTGTTTTTTAAACCCTATGTTTCAGTGGCTCCTTCTGATCGGCGGAAGTGATCGGACACCCCATCCGGGGGAGAGATTACTATGACAAAAGGATAAGTAAAGAAAACTAAGTGTGTGCAAACCAACTTTGAAGCTCTGAAACGGAGAACAGTCAATCCTACTCGCTCGGCATACATGGTTTAGTCTATCTAGCTTTGGGTAACCAGCATCAATAAAAAAAGAAAGGCTGCATCTCCACGTGGTGAATGATTTTGATCGGGGCAAAGCTCTGGTGGTGCTGATTATACTGATTTTATTGTTCATAGGTAGTGCTGATGGTGCTGATTTTTTTTTTATTGCTCATAGGTAGTGCCGAGTTGCGGGTTGCGTTTTGGCTTCATTATTACTGCTTTATGGTCAGTGAAATGCAGAGCCAGTGGTTCTTCTAGCGGATCAGCTTGGATCCGCTAGAAGCCGTGGGAACGCATCTCCACCGCTTAAGTCAACGATCCATGTCAGAAAGAGAATGTGTGGTATGGGATCGTGGTTATATACGTAGTTGAGCATTTGACCGCAGCACCCTCTCGTCTATAAACGTTGAGCCAATGCATGCAAAGTTTAATGCGATTATATACGCATTTGACCGCAGCGCCCTCTCCTGGATAGACGTTGAGCGGCTACATGCAACTTTGGAGTGTAGCGTAGTGGTTAAGATGTCTGCCTCGTAAGCAAGCGGTCCTGAGTTCATTTCATTTCATTTCATTTATTATACCCTCAGGGCCCGAAGGCATTACAGAGGGGGAGAGCAACAAGAAGGTTAATGCAAATAACATAACACATATTTAGACACTATCAGTAATAAAGTAATTAGTTATTGTACTTTTAAAGAGCTCAGAGTCCGCGATAATGGCGATCGACCGGGGAAGGTGGTTCCACTCCTGGGATGTACGGGGAACGAAAGATGAATAAAACGTGGTTGTGACAGAGTTAGGAATGCCCACCTTATGTTGATGATCAAGACGGGAGGAAACATAGACAGGCCGAGCAATTATTTTGTCGCGCAGGAAAGAATTATGGTGATATATCTTATGGAATAGGGAAAGACGAGAAATTTTACGACGTAGAGATAAAGGTGGTAATGAGAGAGTTGTTTTCATAGAGGTGACGCTAGCGGTGCGGTGATAGTTTGTGAGGATGAAACGAGCGGATCTGTTCTGAACGGCTTCCAATGTAGATACGAGAGTGACTAGTCCGGGATCCCAGACAGAAGCTGCATATTCTAACTTGGGACGAATTAAAACTTTGTAAAGAGTTAATTTCAGTGAGACAGGTGCTAATGAAAAATTTCGTTTGATATAACCTAACACGCGGTTAGCGTTAGCTGAAATATTCTGAATATGTGTTTTCCATGAAAGGTTAGAAGCTATATGTACGCCTAAATATTTGTACGAAGATACCGGTTCTAGATGAGCATTATTAAGGAAATAGTTAGGAGAGTCCTGAGACTGGCGAGACACACGCATGACCTTGCATTTGTTAGTGTTAAGCTTCATAGACCACGAGTCAGACCAACGGTAAATAGCATTAATGTCTGATTGGAGTATGCAGGTGTCATTATGATTGAGAATCTCACGGTAGAGTACACAGTCGTCAGCGAGCAGAGACACGGACGAAGAGACACTAGTGGGTAGGTCGTTAATATAAATTAAGAATAGCAACGGCCCTAAGACGGTCCCTTGCGGAACCCCTGACGCAACTTTGACAAAAGAGGAGTTATTGTTATTCACAGTGACAAATTGAGACCGTTGAGTTAAAAAAGACTGTACCGAACCCCCTGTGGGCATACATTTTTTTTAAAAAAGTGGGCCGATCCCGGAGGCAGTGCAATCGATGTGAGCACGGACGCCGGACGGACAAGGCTGGACCCCAAGGAGCTTCGCCCTTAAAACAAGTTTTATTGCTCGGCTTGGCCGATGGTCGAGGGTTCTTGGGGGGACTCCAAGGAGGCCTTTGGGGTCCCTAAAGAATTTTAAATTCCCCGACTTGAGAACCACTGCTAGGTGCTAGCTGTGTCCTGGAGCTTTCATCCGAGACCCTGGTGCGTTTGTGCCTCGGCGCTAATGCAGGACCCCAGCTGGGAGGTCCGCCCGGTCCCCCCTGCACCACCACAGTGGTGCAGCCCCCACCACTTGGGGCCGGCACGGTCAGGGGTCCACTCATGGTGGCGGTCGACTCTGGCAACCGCCACCAGGCGCCGCCGCATGTGACCCTGCACACGCCCTTTACGCCGAATGGTGGGTCCTGTTGCCATGTGTCGGGGCCATTTTCAGCCACGACGTACGACATTTGTGATGATATGGAGAGCTTTGATCATTTGGCACGAGTTTCCGATAGGGAATGAATTTTCAACTCGTTCAGCTGACTGTCATCTTATTGTGGCAGCGCATGGGTGGCATAAGATAACTTATCTCAATACTTTGCATTAAGCCGACAGATGTGTTGTGTAGTTGTGTTGCCCCATTTGGATTTGTTGTGCCTGTCATGCCCGTTAGCCATTTGGGTAAGCTGTTAGGGAATGAGGCTTAAACACACGGCGCTTTCTGTGTCTGGTGACATTACGCGAAGTATCAAGGTCACTTAGGATTTTTTTCTTGTTCCTCCTAGCTCGCGGTAAGTTTTGAGGTGTTTGTAACCAGTCTTTTATAGTCTTAATTATTTGCGGCCACACGAGTGCATGTATAGCAGCTGAAATAACACTTTCCTAGGTTGCTCTGGGAGCGCGGGAGTCGGAGCAGCAATCTACTGAGCGAGAGTTTGTCGGTTCGATTCCTGCCAAGGTAGCGAGCGATTTTTCCAAAGGCAGCCAACCTTGTCATTATGGTTTTTGTTGCAACCTTTTGTGATGCTCTAGACTTACAAGCCCGCCAGCCCTAAGGGGCATCCTGCGTTAAAAACTCGAAATTACGCTCCTAATTTTTTGTTGAACGTTTGGGGGAGTTGTTGCGCGTCGCTGCGGCGTAAATTATTGTTGCAATGATATTCCTGCTTGGTGTTTTCGATTTGCTTTTCCAGCAGGCTTGGTTGGGCACGGCACGTCTTCCGTCACGGACGGCACGTCAACGACGCTGGCATCGAGTGTGGTACCGTCGCCCTACAACTGCATGGCCACGTCCAACCTGCTGTCGCCCACGCACAGCGCAACGCCGACCAACCACAACACTTCGCCAAGACCGAGCATCCTGAGGAAGCGCACCTTCGAAGGGTGAGCAAGGCAACGTCTTCCGTTTATCTGGTGCAAATGTTTTCGGCGCCTCGTAGTCGGCCGCGGTCGTGCTGCTGGACACGCCCAATGCACCTCGAGTCTGTTCGAAACATGTTTGCTACATACAGCCGTAGGCTTCGAACGTGTCTGTAGACGGTGTGTGTACGATGAATGTGGCGGGACCGTTATGCAGGGAAGAAACATGCCGCGGACGGTGTTTGCAGGCTGCCTTTTGTGCGACGCGTTGGCGGTGTGATCATGGCTTTGGGGATGCTTGTTCTGCCCCCGGCGACGGGGCAGTCTTTGTAGCTCGTGCCCCGTCGGCGCTTTCGGGGGAAGATTGCGGCCGCAGGCTTGGGCGTTGCTGGTGTGATTGGATGCGGACGAGCGTTGTGCCGACGCAAATACAAGACACTTGCTACCCGACTCGCTTGCACTGGACTAGCCAAATTGACGTTAGTTCATGGCGTACAAGTTTCACACTGTGTAAGCTTTTGAGGTGGGGTAGACTAGTTTTTACGCTTTAGTGAAATGAAGTTTGGAGTGGATTCGGCCTTCAGTTTGGATTTTGGATGAGGCATATTGACGCCATTTCAAACCGGCGTGAGTGAGTGCAACGAGGCCTGTCGGGAAAAATCGATGTGCTGTGTGAATGGCGTTGTGTATGGAAAACCATTAGAATGTGGGTTTGAGTATGCTGGACAAACATCACAATGCATCAATGACTGATTAATTAAACAAACTTGAAGGAAACGTGAAGAGTAATGCACTGAACTAAAAAATTGCGAAACATGTCCACGAATGTAGCAACTGCACGGCACTATGGTCAGAGACGGAAATCGCCCACAAGGAGAGGCATGATGTAAAAAGAGTAGTGAGGAAGGCTGTCCGCGTAAAATCTCTAGGCAGTCGTACAAGTTGGGCTTTGGTACAGTTTGAAAGAAATTAAAGTCTTTTTAGAAATGTTGTGTGTGTTTTTTTTTTCCGTGCTTTTTTTTTTTTGTGATTTTGATGTTTTGTGAAGAGTGAACCCATATTCTAGTTGTCTGGAACGATTGTGAGGCCCATTCCTTTTTTTTTTTGGGGGGGGGGGGGGGGGGGGGGTTGCGCTTCGCAGTTTTTTGTTTCCCAACTGTGAGTTGGCCCAAAGGTCATTTCAGGGTTTGGGGGTATTTGTTGGTGTCTTTTGTATCACAAGTGAGAACGATGTTTAGAATAGAAGGGGGGAATGATCCTTTTGTTTGTCCCTTAACGTGTCGACTTGTAAGGTTGTCCCCCTTCTTACATTGGGCGACGGTGGTTGTGACTTGTGAACTGCTTAAACTTTGTCTGTTTGTGTCGGTAGTGATGGACCTTGAGTTTGAGTCTACATATAGAGGTGGATCAACTAGGTACATGAGTTGGCCAAGTTTGAGACATGGTTCCGTTTGTTTTTCCTTTCTTCTACTTTTTGACAATTCTCTTCTTCTGCGGTCTCGAGTTAATTCAACACGGTTAATATTCACCAGCTCGCCTGCACCCTTACCATATTTCCTCCGACATACTTTTCTTTCCCGGTTTTCAGAGTGCACATTAACGTAAAGAAAAACCTGATGGCATCACTCCCTGGATCGGAACCTGCGAGTCCACGCTCCGAAGCCCCAGCATCCCTGTCCACCACGTCTTCACCCAAGCCTGCAAGGTATGGCGTGCCCACTTAAAGGACACATGCAAAGGGAAAAAACATTTTTTATAATCAGCTTAGATGGAAAAAGGATGTCATAAAACAATATTACAACGAAGAAAAAAAATTTTTAGGGCTGTATTTACGGCGCTCTAGGAATTTGTATTTGGCGCCCGCCGGCGCCGCAGAAAAGTGGCCCTTATTTATCACGTGACTGGCCCTTATTTATCACGTGGTGCTTGTGCTCTTTTGGAAGTGTCGTATGGCATCTAAAAGTAACTTATTCATCTCTGTTTGAAGTATAACAAAAAAACTAAGATTAATAAGTAACTTTTAGAGCCCAAAGGAAACTCCTGAAAAAGCGCAAGCAGACGTGATAGACCTGTGCGCTGGTCAGACGACGGCGGCGGCGCCCCGAAGCAGGCAAACTTGTGCGGCGGCGGCGGCGACGGCGGCGTGGAAAGACGCGTTGAAGCAGCGTTCGCACAGCGCTCAGCGTGCAGCGGCAGCACCACTTTGCGGCTGTGGTGACGCAGCACGGCGGCGCGTGGGCCTACCACGTGATTAGCGGCGGTTCCCGCGGCGCCAACTACAAAGTTGTATAGCGCCGTAAATATAGCTCTAAAACTTTTTTTCTTCGTTGTATAATTGTTTTATGACATCCTTTTTCCATCTAAGCTGTTTTAAAAAAGATGTCTTTTTCCTTTGCATGTGTCCTTTACAGGGTGACACTACCCGGAAAAAAAATTCTGCAAAAAAAAAGTTGATATTGAAAAATGTCATGTTTACAACCATTAACATCTAGAGTTTATTCCCAGAAAGTTTCATTTGTTTGCACTGCATAGTTATATTTTATTAATAATTTTCAGTCCACTGATGCTAAAGAAAAGGTAAATGTTTGAGTACCGTAAAATCCCGTAAAAACGCCCACCCAAAATGAACAGATAAATGTTGAAAAACATGGGGTAGGCTATGTTTGGGGATGCCACAGGAAAACTTTATTGAAAATTAATTACATATAGCACCGGTGCACCCACTATAAATCACATGACGTAGGAACTGATACTAAAGATAGCGGACAGGGCAAATTCTTGTTTCATGAGATAAACACGCGGGGATTTGCTACAAACTCTTGTGTCATGGAAAGGATACCGCAGGTTGCGGACGCGACAGGTTCGCGTCTCACGGTGCGAAGGACCCACGGAAACCCGCCTAGAACTTGCATCTCCTAGGAACGAATACCACAGATCGCGGACGCAGCACATTCATGTTTTATGGTGAAATAAACACGCGCAAACCTGTTGCAATCTCGCCTGTCACGGAAACCGATATCACGCATGCAGATCGCGGACAAAAACGCAAAAAATCTGATACAAACTTGCGTGTCGCAGAAACAAATACTGCAAATCGCGGACGCAGCAGAATCCCATTTCACGATGCAATATACATGCGGGATCAACTCGTGTGCTATGGGAGCCGGTATCGCGCTTTTCGGTGCCGCAGATCGCGCCGTTAATGTGCGATTTCTGTCAGACATTGCTTGACGTTCGACGGGAATCGGGGGTGGGTGATGTTTTGGAATTTTTGTGTTAGAGATATTTAGCCAGAAAAACGGGATGAGCGATCTGTCGGGGGAGGGCGTCCTTACGAGATTTTACGATACTTCGAAATTGTTTTCCTATGTTCCACATTTTGCTTAAATTTACTTTAGATAAACTATCGTTTGGTAATGGGACAAAAGGAAAGGCTCACTCCTATGTTCAGGGGTGGAACGGCTGTGCCATTTGTGCCATTTTGCGCCAGGCGCATTTGTCTGCGCCATCCTGCGCCATGTTGCGGAAACCGCGCCACAGCCAATACCTCGCGCCATTATGCGCCCAATAGCAAAACGTGCGCCAAACAAAATTGTATTTTGTCTTGGTTTCGGTTTTTATTGACTCGATTGGCAACAATGAGCGCGTTTAGCTTTGTCGGCCTTGCAATCCTTTGTTGTGTTTATTCTTTTTGTGTATCCCGAGTCGGAAGCGCGCGAAAAAACTGGGGGTCGGATTCCATGCGCTACACAACCTGCGACTGGATTGTTATTCTTCAACCATAAGCGGTTAAGCAAGTTGGCCTAGGTGAGGTCGAGTCGTTAAGCGTCAGATTGCCTGAGGATGGGGCCCGGGATCCGGACGTCAGCCAGTTAAAAACAAATAAGCAAAAGATTCCTTTTAGTACTTTGTCGTTAGAAGTTGGAACCGCATTCTCACAAGATAAATCGTGATTTGATAGGACTGAAACGTGTAATAAACCTGTACACATAAGTTTCATGCACATGTATTCTCTAGTTGTTAACATACGGCTGAGGAGGCAGCCAGCACTTGGATGCACGGGCTTCTGCCTTTTGGCTGCCTCAGGCTCTCGGTTGTATGGAAGTAAAGCCAATAAACTCCTTTGAACCTTTGTCCGATCCGAAACCTTGCCGGCCAGCAGCTCTCACGCGAGCGGTAAATCTGCTCGGCGTTTGTTAACCTTGCTCCTGCTTATCGCTTCCAGTACAAAAACTCCGTTAATCGTAGTCTGCTGCTTCGATATTGAGTTGCCCTATTCTACCGCGCAACTGCAAGTCCGTTGCTTATGCACGTCATGTGGTTCGCACATATAATTACTAAGTCGAGCACGTGTGGGTGGTGCTATAAGCAGTGCTGGTTTGCATTTTGGGCAGCTAAAAGCCACTCAGAAAATATCAAGGACACTATCTTCAGAAACATATGGTACTTGCTTTTTGGTTCTCACTAAGGCCAAGTTTTCGCATCTGTTACACTGTTATCCCATCTACCTAGGTTCCTAACCACTCATGTTCGTCTGTGCTGCTAAGCACAATTGAAAGTGCTCCCGTGTTCGTCTATAAGACACAAGCTGCAGTGCAATGAAAACTAGGGATGTCGCGAACCACCCTAGGTTCGATTTCGAAAGGTTTCGATATTTGCGAAGCGAACTGAGGTTCGATTTCGAAAAATTTCGATATTTTCGTACCGACCGAGGTTCGATTTCGAAAAATTCGCAACTTTTGTCCACAGCGAAGTTTCGAATTCGAAAATTTCGAAGCTTTCACGGTTTCTAAAATTTCGAATTCGAATATTCGAATATTTTTTTACTTCAGGTTCGATAAATTCGGAGATTTCGAAATTCTTTGTAAAAAAAATTCGAAAACTTCGAACGCTTCGAATTTTTATAGACATAAAGGTCGCACAATTCGAAGATTTCGAATTTCTTTTGGCATAAAGTTCGAAAAGTTCGAAAGTTTCGATTCTCTTTTAACGCTAAATAAAAAAAAAAAAAAAAAAAAAAAAACTTTGAAGATTTTGAATTTTTTTCTAATCCAAGTTTTCAAAGTTTGAAGTCCGATTTTCAAGTTTTTCTACAGTTTCAGTTTCAAATAACGTTTTCACGACTCACTGGTTTTCACAAAATCAAGTTTAGAAAAGTTAGGGTGTGATATCTAGATTCTGCGAAGTTGGTCAGGCAATTAAATGAGACACCAGTGTCCCGGACGTGCTAGAATATTTGCCAGTGCAGAATTGTGACCGCCAGCCCCCCGGGGGGGGGGGGGGGGGGGGGGGGGGGGTCTTTAACCTGCATCACGCAGTAGTGATTGCACGAACACACTGTTTTACGAGACTCATCCAGTTCGAAACGGCCAGGGGCGAGCAGGAGGTTGAGGCTCAGAAAAACCTTGAAGCGACCTGGCAAACTACCTCGCCACCCCTTGCACGCTGGTAGTAATCCGATCCGGTGCAGTTTATAATTGTCCTGGAGGTTTATTTTCTGGGACGGAGGAACCGCCTCGCAAAAAGCACAAAAGCCGACACAACTCGAGGTCGAGGAGCGTTCTACCATACAAGTGGCGTCGGAAGAGGAAAAACGGGGGGAAAGAGGGTAGCGGGGGGGGGGGGGGGGGGGGGGGGGGGGGGGGGCTTCAGCCTCTTTTTCCCCCTTGCAGGTGTTTCGGACTGTTAAAGAAAACAATACGGGGAAAGAGGGCGTGGTCGAGCTTATTTTAATCTGAAATTATTTATGCATATGTATAGCTACTGTCGCTCTTCACTGCATAAAAGGTTGCGTAGATGGTCACTGTTAGAAACTCGTTGTCAGAAGGCACTGCTCGTCACATGCTTAGTGGTTCGGAAGTTCAAAGCTATGTCTTTTCGACCTAAACACCTGTGCCGATAGTAACAAAAGAAAAAAAAAAAAAAAAGAATAAATGCGGGAATAAAAAGCAGGAGAAAAAAAAACTATCAAGAATTCGTCGGAAGTGTTCTATTCTTGCATATTCAGAGGTTCAGAACTTCGAAACAAGTTTCTTTTATTAAAATGTGTACAGTCTAAAAGAAACACGTCCCAGGAACGTGAAGCGAAAAAAAAAAAAAAACGTTTTCTTTTAATGACGTGCTGAACTTGAACACTACTAGAAATCTTCTGCAATGAGTTAATTTATTCCTTAACGTGAAAAAACAATAAATATATTATTTTGTATTCTGCAGATGGCAATGATATGTACTGTCTGTGGTGTTAATTTAAATGCGATACCTCAAACAACTTAGACGAAAATAAATATCAAGTTTAGGTCATAATTGCATGCAGATACATGTTTGGACATTTCTTCGAAACTCACGTTGAATAACAATAATCACATCTTAAGACGGCACTTACCTAGGCTATACATAGATCATTCTTAAAAAAAGTATAAAGTACCATAAATAGCTCCGGCTGCAGCGTGCTTCAAATCTGGCACAAACGATAATCGTCAAAAACCCGTCGTCCGTCCTCGCCCCTTCGGGGATTTATTTCTTTAAACCTAAGCATGCCAGAACATTGAAATAAATGACATTGTCTTTCGTAAGAAACGCAGCACCGCGTGTAAAAGTTCGAGAAAAAAAATTACGAATGTACCCCACTACTTGAAATCAAATGAAACCGTCCGCCGGTCTTTCGAAGTTCGACGAACGTCGAACTTTTACCCTAAAAGTTCGAAGTTCGTCGAACTTCTGACTTTTCAGAATTCGAAAGTTCGAAACTTTTCGAATTTTCTTGATAAATAAGTTCGAAAGTTCGAAATTAATCGAATTTTTTGGTCAGTCAAGTTCGAAAGTTCGACAAGCATCGAACCTTGCAGCGCAATAAGTTCGAAAGTTCGAAAAAGATCGAATTTTTTAGCGTAATAAGTTCGACGGTTCGAAAAGCGTCGAACTTCTTAGCTTAACAAGTTCGAAAATTCGACCTCCGTCGAATTTTACGATATAGACAATTCGAAAAATCGAAATCTTTCGAACCTTTCGAACCGCTTGATTCGATCATCGAAACTTCGATTCGAAAAAAGTTCGCGGCATCCCTAATGAAAACTGATTTGAGCTGCTCCTAGCCTGCTCCAGAATGAAGTTTTAGCTGCTCCCAACCTGCTCCAAAACAGCTGTTTCAGCTGCTCCCGTGGCTGCTCCCAAGTACATTTCATGAGTTCCACCCCTGTATGTTTCCTAACTGAAATTTAATGAGCGATGCAACCGCGCCATTTTTTATTTTACTTTGGGGATGTCTTTTATAAAAAAATGTGAAGGTTTTGTCGACAACATAAAAGGCAAAAAATTTATTTGAATTTTCAGCGTAATGTTAACATAAAATGAATTACTTTTGGGAAATTTTGTTTTCACAGTGGCACTCGCTAGGCATTCACTGCATATCTAGTGAAGAGAAATGTTGGGTATTATATTAGTTTTCAAACAATAGTTTTCCTAAACAATGTCAGTGTGTTCTTGGTAAAAACAACTATAATTTATTTCACAATTCATGTACACAGATGAAACTTGGCACTGCATTCTGCCTTGCAACTGCCAGTATATATTGTATAAACCGGAATATAGGTCGACCCCTTAATTTATCAGTTGCAAAAAGCGAAAAAAAGATTTTATTTCAAGAGAATGCAACCTTACCTTGGTAACAAATTTGGCCAAGCATACAGAAGGACGAGAAAACACGGCACATTTATTCAATTTCTTCGCATGCAATAAAACAGGAAGTGCGCCAATGTTACTATTTAGATTCTTCAGAACCTTCGTCCGACGACGACTTCACTAACGCAGCTCGAAGGGACTATGACGTCCCTTTGAATTGCACCCTCGAGAGCCCGGAGGCGCGAGCAACCTCGACTGTTTTCGTTCGGTTTCACTCTAACGCCACAGGTAGCGATCTGGCACGCAGATTCCGAATGAAATTTGACACCTTTGTTTCCAATTCGGGGTACACAACAGTCCTTCCACGAAATGAAGTTATTTTTGCATTGCTGCACTCTGCCCCTTTTTGTCTCTGGCTTCGCCATTAGGCTCTTCTCCGATACACCAAACTCTCACTGCGCTGCAGGATTCCCGTGGATCTCTGCATAGGCGATTGCCTTCTTCTTGAAGGCTACCTTGAACTGTCTTCTCCTTCCGCTCATTATCACTCTGGGAGCGGCAACGTTAGATGTAACAAAACAAGGAGCACAAGTGAAAGTGAATCGTGTCCGTCGTGACAAGTGGACCTGATGCTAGGCGATTGCGAAGAAAACCAGGATGGCGGCTTCAGCCACCCAGTGTTTCGAGTGCATTTTTGTTTCTCCGCTAATGACTGTTAATAACAGTCATTAGCGGAAAAACAAAAAGCATATTCTGCAACAGGCACATACTCTGCTCACATAATAATCTCATTCGCAGCACACTTTGAAAAATTCCTACAAATAAAATCGCTATTCAATATTCGATTCAATATTCAGCTTTTTTTTCTTGATTCGATTCGGTATTCGATTCGAAAATTACTATTCGGCATTCGCAGACCCCTGACTGTTATATAAGCTGAGGCTTGACTTTTTCAGGTCTATCTTGAAATATAAATTCAACCTATATTGCGGTTTATACGGTACTGTAAATTACATTCATATGAAGCCTTTTAAAAGTTGACCTTTCTGGATAGTGTTCTCCCCTTAATTTTGGCTAAGAAAGAAGACCAGCTTTCTCTCAAATCTCCAGGACTGATATAAGCACAGTTGTACATAGAGCTCTAAAACAAAAAAAAAAACAAAAAAAAAAATGCATCTCCACTTGGTGAATGATGTTGATTGGGGCGAAGCTCTGGTGGTGCTTGTCTGCGTAGACGCTGAGCCGCAGCATGCCGAGCCTTTCTTCCGTTTTCATCCATGTCATGCTGTGGTCAAATGCTCAAATGCGTATATAACCACGTTTCATACCACACATTCTCTTTCTGACATAAATGAAAACGAACGAAAGGCTCGGCATGCTGCGGCTCACCGTCTACGCAGACAAGCACCACCAGAGCTTCGCCTCACTCAACATCTTCACCACGTGGAGATGCGGTTATTTTTATATTCCCTACACGAGCACGAGAGCACGTGCTCACTTGCACGTGAGCGCGTGAGCTCACGAGCAGGAGCACGTGCACCCGACGCCGGACATCGGACAGACATACGGACGTGGCTAGCCCCTAAGGAGCTTCGCCCCTAAAACATGGTGACATTTTGCCTCTTTCGATGCGTTTCCTGTACTAGCTACACTTCAACGACATGAGCATTGTGACTTGCCGATATTTGTAAGTTCACGACTTACAGTCTTCTTGAGATATAATTTTGCTGCTCGACTCTGGCTTCAACAGTGGCTCGTTGCCGGTCCACCGGATCAACTCCTTTTAATTTCTTATTCGTAAATTATATGAATGGTCAGCTTGGCCGTTAACAAAAGGGCTTTCGACAAGTGGGCCCGGATTCCCTCAACACGACCAGTTATGTGTTAAAGATAAACCAGAACAAAAGAAAACCCCTGTAGTCTTCACCTTGAAATGCTGCAGCTATGGCGTGATGCGCTGAAGCCATTGCCGATGTGAGCCCTGTGCTTCCTTTGGTGACTCAATGTGACTCACTCTGCAGTGACCTGCAACACGAGAGCAGCAACAGCAGCAGCACTGCGAGTGAGCCAGTGACTGCCGAGGTCACCAAGTCGTCTCTGCCTCCGGTCACCATCAAGCAGGAGCCCCAAGAAATCTCTGAAGTGCCGGGTGAGCCATTTTTGACTTGGTTCTGTATGCATTGTTTCTGTCATGTAGAAATAGTGGACTGAGTTCGACGCGAATAGTGGTTTTTGGTTGAATATTTTAGAATTGAATGTCGAATAGTTTTTTAAAGCCTTTCACTACTGTTGTACCAAGCTTAAGTGAAAGCTTTGCTAAACTCGTGAAAGTTGTTTCCAACTTCCACCTGTTTATTTACAAACTCATTTTAATCTCATTCTTTTATGGACTGTGACCTCATAAAGTCCGATGCCTTGGAATGGTAAGTAAATGACGGATTTGGCATTGAATTAAGCTTATAGAGGTCTCCAGCTGTACTTAATTGAGTGGATTTACAAATCTTGCTACTGTGCAGTCCACTTAAAACGATACCACATATTGCGATGTATTGCTTATAACGATCAGTTTGTTTGGAACTATACATTTTTGCACTTTGTCCATGTAAAAAGCCCAGATATAGCGATGCGATTTTCCTTGGTATACCGGATACAGCGATAAAACTATTCCACCTAGAACATATTTATTACAAAAATTAAGCTGAAAACGAGAAAAAAAAAAAAGCGAAGAAATGCGTCGCGGAAACGGTGGCGAAATCGGCATCGGTTGCCGAAATGGGACGGTATCATCGCGAACGGGCGCATCGAATACTCCGCGAGAAGGCGCTGCGTGCGGTCTCAAGCGGAGCATTATCATCATCATCGTAACCAGCGAGGTGCGTGACGTTTGCATACGCCGCAGCTTGTAAGCTTTTTCTTTGTTGCTTTGGGCGTTGCGCAAGTTGGCTTCAACGAAATGTAAAGCGATCTCTCTCGACGTCAAACAACAAATTCTGCAACGAATGGCGGTGGCGACGACAGCAGCGGTAGTGACGACGACAGTGATCCACCTCCCATGTCCACGCAAGGTGCCCTGCTCGTGATTCATTCGCTGATCGGTTTTGTTCAGTCGAAAGGACTGTCGCTAGCGTACGCACAAAAACTCGATATGATGCAAACCGCGATCGTCAAGCTGCGGCTTCCGTGCAAGCAAACGGAAATCTCTGACTTTTTTGAGCATGCGTAGCATATTTCATTCTCTACTTATTAAAGTCTCCGAGAAGCAGAAGATATAATGTTTCACGGCTCATCTTTCATAACCTGATCGACTCGATGCTGGTGAGTACCCTTTGGCATCGGGGAGCAAGGAGGGTAATATTTCGGACCTTTAGAGGCGCAGTCCATATACAGCGATACTCGGTTATAACGATCAGATTTTCGGACATCATTAATATTGTTATAAGTGGATTGCACTGCATATGCAAATATTCTTTCTTTAATCTCAAATCTGAAAAAAAAAAAGAATATAATCACGAATCATGAACGTAGCTTGTTGGGGCATCTCTGCCTAACATGAACTCTTGCATAACAGCCACAGTTTATTTAATTTTGAAAATTTTACTGCATCGTAGGCATCAACATCCAGGAAGTTTTTGTTTCTTTTTAAATGCACCAGGCACATGCGTCCACCATCCTACTTTGTAAATGTGGTCTTGTCCCAAGCACCTAATTGTGATATTCATGCCTTTCCAAGCAATGTTGCAGCAAGTTAACCCTGCCTCCCCCCCCACCCCTTGTCTTACGTTGGCCCTCAACCTTTTCGGTGTGGGGTATCTGCCCTCTTACTCAAATGAGTTGGAGACCACTGCTTTATACTGTCTGTCGTGCGGGACAGGAAGGGATCTGTAGTGATTTCCAATGCTAGGTCTTTGGTTTACCTGTTTGCACTGACGTTTTCCTACAATACCTTTGCATAACCGCAGCCAATGGCAATTCAGCGAGTCTTCCCATCCCAAGCACCGCAGTGGAGGCCTCGCCTCGCAAGAAGCCAAGGAAGCAGCTGCTGTGAGTGGCCTCTGTATTCTTTTGCATGTAATTGTATTCTCGCGATTCTAAGCACCCCCTCGATTTAAGCACCCCCCTCCCCCTTTTTGTGAAATTTTGTGGGGTTTCCCTCGCTCCATTAAGGCTGAGCCAGGCGAGCGTCGGTGGCGTCTGTGCACGGCGGGAGACTCTGGGCTGCTTGCGCTCAGTTTCAATGCCATCCGATAGATGGCGGCACTCGACGCAGCGGCTTGCTTGGTTCGGCTCCGCCCCGGGAGGGCGAGAGCGAGACACGTTGGACATGTTTTCAAACTGAAAGCTGCTTGGCGCGTCTCGTGTTGTTCTTTCTTTGTTTTTTTTCGCTTCACGTCTTGTACTTTCTCGTTTCGTTCGTGTACTTTCGATCGAGATCAACATGAGAACAAAGCAATCGTCTTGTACGGCTAATTTTAAGAGAATGTTGACCGTGTTTGCGGAGGATTCGCTGGCGCAAACAGTGGCGACTGATCTCCGAAGGGCGCTGCAACTTTTAAGAACTTAAATAAGCCACGTGGGAGCCGGCATCCTACACTTAAACACGACATGTGCGAGTTTGTCCTTGGCAAAAGATGCAGCTGCTCCGTTGTCGCGGCAGACGCCATCCTAGGGAAAGCGACGGGGATGATTGCAAAGAGGACGCAGATTTTCCACACGGCGTTCTGCGCAAGCCGAGGATGGGTCAAGTACACGATGAAGAGACTGCGGCGTCGCGCAACGATATGCTTGAAGCTGCCGCTGGACTTTGAGGATAAACTCGTCAGTTTCCAGCGCTACAGAATGAAACTGCACATAGAGTCCAGCTATGGACCGGTCAGATAGGCAACGCCTACGAGACGCCCGTTTAGATCGACGTGCCGAGGACATCGACGGTAAACGAAGTGGGGATGCACAATTTTGGAGTGCGGACCACTGGCCACGAAAAGCTGCGTGCGACGGCAATGTTGAGCCTAACAGCCGACGGCCGAAAGCTGCCGTTCTACGTCATCACGGAGGGACATGCCCAAAAACGAAACCTTCCCGGAACACAGCGTCGTCAGAGTCGAGGAAAGGGCCAGATGACCCGAGAGTCTATGCTCGACCGGATTCGTGTTGTGTGCCGGAAGTGCTCCGGAGCGTTGCTCGTCGCACCCGAAGGCACAATGTCAACTCTCGTGCTCGATACGTTCCGCGGTCACCCGACCCCGGAGGTGAAGGAAGAACTTGAGCGCAGCAACTGGCGACTTGGTGGCGGTGCCTGTTGGAATGACGTCGGTACTGCAACCCCTCGACGTATCCGTCAACGAGCCGTTCAAAGAAAGCTTGCGGAAGGAATACAAAAAGTGGATTCGCAATACCGACTGGAAGTTCTGCAGAAAGCCTCTCCATCAACGGTCGCTACGTGGATCTTAAACGCGTGGAACTGGATCAGAGCTGATGTTGTGGCAAAATTGTTTAAGAAGTGCCGCATCCCAATCTGTGTCGACGGCTCTCAAGACAATGCCTTGTGGGAAACCGACAGCAGTACGGGCAGCAACATGAGCGGCGGCGTGAAAGGCGTTGTCGTCGAGTGGCAACGAAAGGGAGTGACCCAGGGAGGACAGTGGATCATCTGAACAGATACGCCAAGCAGTGTAGAAAATATTTTCGGGGGGTGTTTCAATGTTCCAGTGCAATCACACACACTATAATAATAATAATTGATATATATACATATAATATAAAGTAAAATATCAGGGGTGTTCCGACACCTGACACCCCCCCTAGTTACGTGCCGTTCAAGTCTATGCATTACATTAGTGAAAAAAATTATAATTGAGCCAAAGAAATCATGAGCCATTCCACTGTGTGAAGGTAGATGACCAGGGAAGCCGCTTAGCGCATACAACACAGATCCGCTGCGAAAAGCCGAAGGAAAGCAGACACGCGTGACGGGACCGCCACCCCAGGAGAGCGGACGGAAAGGAAGCTAGGCACGCAAGCGCTTGGAACGACGACAAAGAGAGGGCGGTGCGAGCGTGGGCATGGCCGACACAAATCGCACAGCGGCAAATCTCTGAGAAACCTTTATTATCTACCTGAGAGTCTACTGGGCTTGAAAATGGTGTCTATTGATAACTAATCTATTAAATAGACCTATTGCTAAATTACCCAAGCGTCAAGGAGAATGCAGGGAATGGGGTTCGACGTGTCGGCATCTGCAGCAGTAACTGTTCTAAAGCAAAAGCCTAAAACAAATGGCATCTTGCAGGCGTGTTCGTCAACGCTTTATTTTGGCTATTTACTTCGAATCTTTTATACGGGGAAGGCGTGCGCATGTGGCGCTTGCTGTGGTGTGAGTGTAGAGATTTTAGTTGCTGCTCACGAAAAATCGAGGGGACCCTAGCTCTCAACAACTTCACTTTAAAACAGTATATACAGAGATGTAAAGTAACTTTGCGGTATTGCATCGCGACATCGGCTGCAAACTTACAAACCGAGCAGCTGGCACATATCAGAAGGCGCAACTCTTATCACAAGTAACAACTAGTACTATAAATTTATGATACATCATCTGTCTGCCCATCTACCGTTTTCACTTGTTCACAGGCCCACAATTTGTGATCAAAGACCTTTCCCACAAACCAAACTGTAATGATCAACAAAAGAAGAGTCAATGACGAAGTGCAAATCATATTGGACGCTAAAAAATAAGATCTCTGTTGGGATCCCAAATATATAAATTTTATACTGATGTCCCAGCACAGTCTGCTTTACAACGTCCAAAGGTTTTCTGTGCGTCATCATTTGCTGGGCGGACGAGATTTGGGTAAATGTGGTGAGTGAGTGAAAATCATACTAGAAAGTGTGGTGGGCAGCTTTCGATGTTTGACCACGAAGAAAAGCTTGTAAAAATCTCTGAAAAAAATCCAGATCACCTTCGGCTACTGATGCATTTGTACTTGCGTCATTTTTATGTCTACAATAAAAATGTGGGCAAGCCCGGGTATGTCTCCTCTTTATACAGAGGGCAAAAGTTGGGGAGTGTAGATTGCAATTTAGGTGTCTAAGATGATGGTATTGTTGATGACAGCAATTTTTTGGGTCCTCCAGTTTGGCGAACAAGCTCTTGGACACACACTCGACCGACGGTGACGACGACCTGGAGCGGGAGAGCCGAGAGAATCTTAGGAGGGAACTACCAAGGAGTGGTCAGTCTTTCTACACCGTCTAGCGGTCGCAACTTCTGATTGTAACTTGGACAGATTGACAGGGGTCAGAAGCCGCTTCCTTCGTTCAACCTGAACAGCAAAAAGGTCGAAGTTAGACTTGTTAAACAGACGTTTGAACGGTGGGAAGTTAGTGTGCCTCAAGAGGCATCTGACGTTCCTGCCGTCGTCGATGAGGAATGTAGCCAGTGCAATATGACTGCTGCTAGCCTTGAGTCTGTAACATGCATCTCTAAGTGGTGACTACATGACCGCACGCGAATACAATTCTTATCTAGATCCAAGTGGGTGGGGATCGAGCCCAGGATCCCAGTGTTCTGCGGTGCCAGCTTGCACTCCGCATGCTCAGAGTTGCGGTGCACGAGTAGCTTCTCAACCTTCAAATCCAGTCCTCAACTGACCGAAGGTTTACGGGCTGTGGACGATTTGTGTTGCAAACTGTTTTTCTGAGTGGCTGGCCCTTGAAGATTGAAATTAGGCAATCTTTTTAGTTTGGAAACTGATCTGGAATTGTGAGGAAGATGCCTCTACTGTATTTCTCATTCCACCTTATGATGATCCGCAGAGGTCGCTACAAGTAATTGAGGCCAATTCAATGCCACGCAAGTGTCGCTTGACCTTTGGGAGGTCTGTAATGACGTGTGTGGCGTGCAGCTGCACAATACGTTTAGGGCGCTAGATTGGCTGGGATTAGCTCGTAGCATCCACTGCAGTTCATCACAAGGCAAAACAAAACATACTTGCAGTAACCAATTTTTTCTTTTTCTTTTTTCTTTTAGAAGATGTGAAGTGTGTTGCCTTCTGCAAGCGCCCCAGCATGTCGCTGCTGACAAGTTACTCGCACAGCTGGAAAACGCGGCAAAACCACTTCGCAAGGCACACCGACGTCAAGCCTAAAGGTCTGTTTTCTTTGTTTGATATGGGCCGCTGCTGTGTCACTATACCCGAAAAAAAGGATGTGCTCCCCATTAACGCTTTGGTGTGGCTCTAAAGTTCTAGTTTGATTGCAGTCAACTTGAGTCCAGTGGGTCTTGGTCTGTTTGTGGTCACTTGAGTAATCTCACCTATTCCAGTCTATATCTGAAACATATATTAGTATCCAAAATTTAACGATTTTCCCACTTGTTTAACCTTTTGTTAGGTCCTTTTACACTTGCTTAGGGTCAGACTTACACTATCATCATTTTTTCCTTAAGAATCATTTGTGGTAAGTTTCGTTGAAGTGTGCATTGAGCTTTCAACACTGATGTCTAGCCTTTCACCTATCTAGCGTAATTCTCTCAAGTACAATTTATTTAAACACTAATGTCCGCATTTTCCTGCGATGCCTGCCTGTAGGAAGCAGGTCCGACATCTGCATTGCCTTGCCTCTTGTCATCTTGCTCTAAGGCTGCTGTGCTTCTTTGCAGATGACAAGAAGCAGACTGTTAATGACCTGGCCAATCAGAAGGGTGTGCTTCAGAAGGCCAATGGCTGGAAAGTGTTCCACCTGACCTCTCAGATGGAAGAAGTGGTGAGTCGGCGCTTTCATTGATACCACATTATTTTTTCACTTCTGTCTCGGCTGCAAGGCACATGTGCAGTGCAGTCGTGTCCAAATGCATATGTAGATCTCTGCTACTATTTATTTTTAGAAAAATGAGGAATGCAGAATTGCATATTTATAAAGCTAGCTCAGGATTTTTCGAGCGTTCATTATGTCCTAGGGCCTAGCACAGTGGAGGCTAGGAGAGTTAGCCCAATTGGCCAGCTGCCAAACTCCTGCGCCACAAACACCAACTGCACGTGTCGCGTGTTGACGACATACTACGAGTCACTCCACGCCATGCTTGCTCGCCTCAATCTTCAATGTCGTCGCAAGAAAGAAAAAGGGAAAAAAGAATGACAAGGCAACGTTTTGAAAAGAGACGACAACCAGTGCCAGGAAGACTGATGCACAACTAGAGGCGGAGTCCCTGAAAACCCAAGGGTTTCCCTAATGCCAGAGTCCCACTACACTAGAGCGACAGACAGAAACAAACGACAGAGACAAGCTTCAAGCCAGAGTCTTTCGCAACTTGACAGGCTTTGTAGAAAAGGGGGCTATGCTCAAACACTAGCATCATGCACGCGAGGGTAACCTTGGCAGGCTTGCAATCACTCGTGCTTTCTTCACGAGCTCCGAACGACTAAGCGCCTGCCAAAGGTACCATCGCGAGCGTGCTGCATGCGTTTGATGTTTGTCGCTGTTGTTTGTTTCTGTTTGTTGCTCTAGTGGGACTCGGGCATAAGAACTCTCGAGAGTTCTCCGAGCTCCAAAATTTCTTGGCCATCCCTGTACCTAAGCATAGAGTGTTCTCCCAGTTTAAGCATTCTTTGAGAAGGTCTGAGCCATCCATTTACACCTTACTATGTGGCAAGTATTCCTTAGTAAGTATGTGCATGGATCTTTGCAAGGTCTGTAAGCTTTTAAAGCATTTTGTTATGTCCATGCCAACACTAGGATGACTTTCCTCCGCTGCTGTTCGAGAGAGATTGGCATCCTTTGAGATCGAAAAGTTTCACAACCCCCAAACTAGAGTATTGGCTGCGTTTCTCATAAAACTCATTTCTGCACATGACCGCCTTTTTGTATTTTTTAAGGATTTTCCGACCAATTTTATGGTTTTATTACCTTTGTACTTTTCTGAGTTCATAAGAGCATTGACATCCTTGAAAATTTGGGCAGACAGTGAGAACATTGTGGCAAACAAAAAACAAAATGGCTTTTTTTTTGTGTGTGTTTTTTTTTGTTCCACGCAGTATTTTTTGGAAGACACCGTGCACACCAAGTTGTCTGAGCTGCTCGACTTCATTGAGGAAAAGCCACCCGCAATACAGACCAAGCCCCTCAACGTTGACGAGGAGCGAATACTCAGCAAGATAAACGATCTCATCAAGGTAGGAAGAGATTTTCTTCAAACTCCCACCTAAGTTACTGTCTTTTTTTTTTTTTTTTTTAAATCTGCCAATGGTTTTTAATGAGCGATGACATTGGAAAATAGTGCACCTCTAAAAATATTGTATATATACATACCGTAATATCTCTAGAAATACCCCACCCCTGAAAGATAACTCACTTTTATATTTAGCTTGATTTTATATAATCTTTTAATCACTCCCACTCATCGTAGTGTTCAGATCAGTGATTACCTCGGCGTAAATGCGACTAGGTTACCAGCAAACATTGCTGCCTGGGAAGTACAGCCGTCTTTGCTTCATTGTCCCTCACCTGATAACAAGTTTGGCAGGAAAGCACAATCGAAAAAAATACTTTTTTTCTTTTCAACTTTTCTCGGTTGTACATCGAAAGTTCACCCACTCCATATTTTCACCCGATTTGCTCTCGACTTTAGGTGGGCTATTTCTCGGGATATTACGGTATATACATTTTAATGTGATGCTTAAATGGCGACTCTGGTCCAAAATGAAACCAAATCAAATGACTGGTCACTTTAGTGGCATGAAATGTGATCACGGTCAAAATATTCCGTGAAAGTGAAGCCGCACACTCCACGAAAACCGATTTTAAAAATGCGACCAGCTGCTCTTTAGCGGGTGGCAAGCGAGTTAGCTTTTAGTCAAGAAACTCTGGGGGACGCGTACAGCAGCACCACCGTGATGTCACGTCACGGCCGTGCAGCCGTTATCAGTGTTGTCATCCCTCTCTAGCAGATAGTTTCGGTGTTGCCATAGATGCCCAAAACCAAAGGTTAAGCCGTGATGTTTATAAAACTACACACAACATTGAGGAAAAAAATTTTACCTCGTAGTTCAGGGACACTAACTGAGCTGAAAACAGTCATAATCTGAAATTCGAAATTATGGATCAAAGTTGCACCTGAAAAAAAAAAAAGAAATGTTTTCTTTAGACCAGTGGTTCCCAGCCATGGATGTGTCGGGGACCCCTTGCGGACTGCTGGCAGTGATGGGGGACCCCTCGCCCCTGGGGGGGCGAGGGAGGGAGGGAGGGAGGGAGGGAGGGGGGGACGTTAGTAAGTTAACACATCTGGAGCATGAAACAGGTGCCTTTCATTGCTACGTAACAGAAAAACATAAAACAAAGGTGCCACATCACTTCATTCTGGTCAGTTCATCAATACGTGGCACACTCACGCTTCAAACTACAAAAAACGTGCCAACTAAAAAGAAAAAAAAAAAAAAAAATTTTGTTGAGGGTCTTGCGGACTCCAAAAGTGGCTTCGCGGACCCCCTGGGGTCCGCGGACCCCTATTTGGGGACCACTGCTTTAGACAATCTGATTTTGGGACACGCGTGTAAAAAAATGATTAAGCGAAAAAAAAATTTTTTAAAGCAATATTGACAGCGCGAGATTTATTTTAAATTTTGCTCGCAAAATCCATGACGTCACGAAACGGTCATACACTCTTTCCACCTCAGCGAGATGGTCATACACTCTTTCCACCTCAGCGTGATGACCACGTCCACGTCTCCTCCACACGCCCGAAATGCCAAGAGATTAAGGGGGGACACTACCTCGAATTGCACCTTTTTTTAAAAAAAAATGCATATTCAGAACTGCAAAGTTTTGGCATGTATGGACAACAAAGAACACACTCACAAAGTCTTGTCATTGTGCACTGACAAACAATGTCAAAAATAATTATTCTTTATATGTTGGTGAGGTGTGCTGCACTGCTTAGCACTTGTCATCCACAAGTGAAAATAGCTGAAAGCAATGTCAGTATATCAGAAGAAGTTTGAGGAAGACATCACCTACACTGATGGAAAGAATTTCTGACATTTAAGACGCAAAAATAAATTTTTAAAACGTCATCATGAAACTTCTGCATTTATCTCAGCTTCACTTTTTAGTAGTCTTGTGGGTATAGTGGATTTTGAGTTCGAAGCGAATAGTGGTTCTGGCCGAATATTTTCGATTCGACTATCGAATAGTTTTTCCACGCCTTTCACTACCCCTGAGATAGCGATTTAGGCCAGTTGGTCCATTATCATCTAAAAAAAGTGCCAAAAAACACAAGGACGAGGAAGTAAACAGAGCGCTCTTGTCTGTCACTTCCTTGTCCTTGTTTTTTTTTTGTTTTTTTTTTCTTTGGCGTTTTTATAGTTGCTTTCACTACCACTGCATAACGCTTAGATGAAAACCCAGCTAAGCGTGTGAAGGTTGTTCCACTTGTCCATTTGTAGGCTAAGTTTAATCTATCTATATTATTGACTGTGACCTGGAAGGTCTGGTGTCTTGGAATGGCAAGTAAACGACGGATTTGACATAAAATTAATCCTATAAAGATGGTCAACTATACCCAATTGAGTGAATTTACAAATCTTGCTCTATAAAATATTCATTATTTAATCTCGAGTTAAAAAAAAAGAATGAATCGTGCATGATGAATGCAGTTTGTAAGGGCCTCTCTGCCTAATATAGTGTACTCTTGCTTAACAGTTTAATTTTGAAATTTTCACTACAATGTAGATATACAAATTCACAGTTTCCATTTATTTTCAAATACAGTCGGCACGGGTGCACCATACCGCTTTGAAAGTATGCTTTTCCTCCAAGCACGCGCTTACGATATTCCTACTTTTCCAAGTGTTTATCGCGGCGGGTTACCCCGTTGAGTGCGCTTCTTACCAAGCACCGGCGTAATGCAAAGAAGCAACACCCGCGGAGCTCGCTTCCGCGGGTATTTCTTCTCCACGGCGCACCGGTGCTTGGTAAGAAGCACACTCAAGGGGCTAACTTGCCGCAATCAACACTTCGAAAAACGCGAATAGTGCAGTTCTTCTCAAAGCGAATATCGAATAGTGCAATATTCGGAACTCCTATTCGAAATTTCGAATATTCGCACAACCCTACTTTTTAGTGTCAAATATCAGTTCAAGGAAGCTATCATTTCATAATCAAATTATGCTTGCAGATATATTTTGGTTTTTCTCTATTTAAATTTTCTGGAGAACACGACTGTGAACTTACTTTCTGCATCTTTATGCTCTTTTGTTATGAAAAGTTTGTTTCTTTTAAATCACATGTACACAAAAAAACGTTTTTTCCACATTTTCTTGTGAATAAATTTTATAATTTATGAAATTTCTTTTCATAGTCGTGTGAAGCAAGTATTCTGCTGTATGTTCCAGCAAAAAAACTGGCCACTTTCCTTATTCTTTCTAAACGATAGCTTTCCTCAGCAGATACACTTTTTTATTATGAACTTTTATGTAACTCATTGTGGGATAAATTTATAGGGTTGAAAATTTCCACAGCATCTTTGTCCAGTGCTATGAGTACACCCTGCAAATTTCATGCAAATAAGACAAACGGTTCAAAAGTTAGCCTTCCGGAGTAGTGTTCCCCTTAAGCAAGTGGAGAGGAGGTTACTGCCAACTAAATTGCATCTTGCGCCATCAATATTGCTGATGTCGCACAGGACTGCAGCCTGTAGACCAAGGGTACGAAAACTGGCACCAGCACCACGTATGCCAGAACACCGACGCCAGATCAGGGAAGATGGAAGTGGAAGCAGGCTTGACCCTTTTCAAGCGATCCGTTGAGAAGCATGACCTGCGATAAACAACGCTCATCTCCGACGGTGACAGCAGGACTTACTCAGCCTTGGTAAAAGAGAATGTTTATGGAATACTCCCCATCGTCAAGGAAGAATGCCTGAACCTCGTTCAGAAGAGGATGGGGATAGCACTGCGTAACCTGGTCCAGAAGAGCGAAAGTGTGACAGGGGCATATTCCAGGGTTTGACCTCCCTTCCAGTTGCACGCATATTTAGATATGTTGACGACTATCTCTTGCTGATGACAAAAATCCCTGACGAAAACGGCATCAACATCATCAAAAACATATTTTTAGGCCAGACCCAAGAATTGAACTTCACCCACAAAACTCAGACTAACAACAACCTCCAATTTCTTGATACGCGACTCACCTTTCAAAATGACAATGTTTGTTGGATGTATTCACCTAGATCCAAGAAACGAATACTCCAATATGAATTTGCACACTCAAAACTAGTCAAAGGAGGCATTGTGTCTAGTTATTTGAGCGCTGCCCTGAAATAACATCAGAGGCGCTATCCAGCGGCTCTGGTGCAGTGTCAGACTTGGCTACTGCGCAACGGAGGCGCACAACTGGGCATGCGGCGGCGCCAGTGTGTCTGCCGCGGCTATGACATCACTTCTCTGGAATGCGCAGACCGGGGAGGCGCGCGCGGCGGCTCCGGCACGCCAGCTGTGCGCCGTGTGACTTCACTGCTCCTCGCGCATGCGCAGCACGGCTCTCCAGGAGCCATACGAAACTGCTCAACCTCGGCCAGTGTAGCTCACGCTACTAAAGTCTTGCATTCATTCAGCAAGAGAAAGCTTTGACGCGCAAGTATCAAGGCTCAAGGCGTCAGGCTACGCCACCTCCATCCTGTCTGACGTTGTTGAATGTATGATAAAACCAAACAGAACAAGCAAGAGTAGTAGAGAAAAAAGAAGTCGACCGGTGGTCGTCCCTTATATCCATCGCATCTCTCATAACTTCAAGGGAATTGCCTCTAAATACGATGTGCCGGTTGTGTTTTCAGCCCCCGACCAGCTAAAAAAAGCTCTGCCCCAAAGTCAACACCCCGCGCACAAAGCCTGACAAATGCGGTGTTAGGCGCTGCAACAAATACGTCAACTGTTGCAGCGGAGAAGTGTATTTGATCCCGTTCGCCTGTGGGAAGGTTTATGTGGGACAGTCGGGAAGATGCATCAACGTAAGGCTCGGAGAACATGCGCTATCTCTAAAATCCTCTTCGTCGAGGCATCTCGCTCTACATGTGAGGGACTGCGGATGCGCCCTGCTACTGTCCAGCACCAGGATTCTAAAAAAGTGTCCAGATAAGCGAACTTGCGAGATTTTTGAGGCTGGTCATTGCGACCAAAGGAGACGCCTGCATCAGTGCTCCATCGGTGGCTTTGTCATCAAAAGAATTAGAGTACATGAAATATTTCCCTTAGATATTCTTAATTTGGTTTACCTTCCTCTTTCTCTTTTTTTCATAATTTTTTTTCACTGTTATTTTAATCATGCCCCACCGTTTCCTTTGGTTTTTACTAATTTCCTTTTTTACCTTTTTTTAATTCTCAGTCATTTCAGATCATTTCACTCCTTTCTCATAAATATTTGTAACTTTCAATGTTAGAGTCTTTAATGTTTTCGTCTTCCTCATCTTCTGAAATGAAAACTTCACTTGCGAGTAAGCACTTGTCCTCTGTAGTCTCCCTCTTGTCCTTGTCTTTCGCGCTTTTTTGTTTTCGTAATGTTTAACCAGCTAAACCAACAAATCATTCTGCTACGAAAAAATTTCCTTGCTAAATTTATCGGAAAAATTTCCCCGCTAAATTTAGCGGAAAAAAATTTTTAACTGAAAAAATGCCTCGTTAAATTTAGCGGAAGAATTCCCTCTCTATATTTAGTGGGAAATTTAACCAAAATTGTCCGCTAAATGGGAGGGGGAGCAAAGGAGGGAGAGGAGGGACATACCCTTTCCTCTGTACCCTCTCCTCCTCCTCCTCAAGAGCTGCGCTCTAATTCGGCATTACAGAGAATTGTAAAAGTGGTATTTCATTTTTTCTTTCGGTGGTCTTAAGAGCACCATATCTTTAGAACTATTGACGGGATTTGGGTGCTATTTCTTGTTTTCTGTTTCTAAGTAACATTTTGTGGGCATGACAATTTTCTTTTTTTGGATAGATTGAGTCAAGAGTTTATAATAAACACATTAAACTTGATGGATGTGGGTATGACCAAAAACATAAAATTCAATATTGCACGAAATATTTTTTGTAAAGATAATATTGAACCTAGTTTTTGCAAATTCTCCGGGCCCAAAACAACAGAAGCAAATGAGCAATTGTGACAAACTTCCATAACTTGACACCTAGCAAGCACAGGACCATGAAACTGTGCAGTTACGCTTATGTTGGTGTTATATACATGCCCTAAACATTTCGTTGTGACATCTCTAAAATAAAATAAAAAGTTTGTTTCTGGGACTTACGTTTTTCGTTAAAGGGGGGGTGCAACGATTTTAGGACTAAAAGAGTTTGCATCTCGTTATTTTTACATTGTTTATCGTGTCCTGGAGAATAAAGAAAACATCTCCTTCATTAAAAAAAAATGCCACAATATCGCTGCATAATTGCAAAGCAAAAGTCTAGCTTTTTCCCCCACCTGCAGCCACTAGTGGCAGCCGAGGGAACTACGGCGAAAAGATTACGTGACCTCGCTCGGCTCTAAGCTTCAGCATAACGCCCGCTAATGTCAGCAGAGAGAGGGAGAGGAAGCGCCCTCCAAGGGAGCACACGGGAAGCTACACGGCACCCCGAGTTACGTCACTAGGATGGGGACTAGGTGTGATCCTGAAGGCTGGGAGTGAGTTGAGGGGTGCCAGAAATGCCAATTTATCTTTTTTTTTTTTTACAACAACTAGGACACGCAGGCGAAATCGATTTTCTGTTCTTTACTTCAGATTGTCAGAGGGCAACTTCCACAAATTTTTGACTGAAGTCCGGAGATCATTGCCACCCCTCTTTAAAGGGACACTAAAGAGGATTCTGCGATCATCTGTTCTTGGTCATAACTCATACTACGGCTCCTAAGCATCCTAAAAATCCAAAAATTACAATCAAGCAATACCGATTTCTTTATAAAAAGTGTGCAGAAAGGTCGGGACTCCCCACTTTCCGCTCAGAAATCGCAGAATCCTCCTTAGTTCCCCTTTAAGGAAGAGTGGGGATAATCTTAAATTTGCCTACATGCCTTTGTTTGTCTTCTTGAAAGTTGTCAAAAAATGTAAATACCGTTTGACAAAACAGGCGGGCTTTTGGGCATCTATTATTTCTAGAAAAATAACTCTTGCAGTTGGTTTTTTAGTCTTGTCCCAATAGAAACTCTGAGGATGATTTGGGTGCACCCCTCAAAATTGCAAGTTCAAGATTAGCACCAAGCCATGTAACCAAGTTTGATTATTTAAATTGAGCTTGGTTACGTGTAAGTCTTGGAGTTTCTTAGTATCCTCAGTAGAGCTTCATCCATATTGAATCACTTCAAATCACAATCTGTCCGCTCATCTTTCGGGATCATGAGGGGCGTTTCTGTCTCACTCCCGAGTCCTTCGATTTCGAAAAGGAAGGACTATAATTCTCACAATGTCCTTTTTTTTGCTTGGTTCCCCAGGGTAACTTGCAGCGCAGCAAAATAGTGCAGGACCAAGTGACGGAGGCCAAGCAGCAAGTGCTCAAGGTGCTAGAACACAAGCCACGCATTGTTGAGATCATCGGCAAGTATGTGAGTAAACGGCCGCTCAAGAAGCGAGAGAAGATGTGACCGCCCCAACACCCTCCCTCACCTCTCCTTTTAAAAGCATCTTTTACATCACATCTCATTGTCGACAGACTCTGTAGAAAACCCTGACCCCCCTTTGTTGCTCATCTGTCAAGTGCATCATCAGCGTCCTTATTTTTAAAGCAAGGCCTACGGCCAACGTGGTACTAACATGATTCTCGGACGTTGATGCAAGCGGCTGCAGTGAGCCGGCTGCGGTGAGCCGGCTGCGGTGAGCCGGCTGCGGTGAGCCGGCTGCGGTGAGCCGGCTGCGGTGAGCCGGCTGCGGTGAGCCGGCTGCGGTGAGCCGGCTGCGGGGAGCTGGCTGTGCGAGCCGGCTGCGGATTGTAACCGCTGTGCATGTGGACAGCCTACCTTGTCCCATAGTCTGCTCTTGCTCCGGAGGTTGGGAATGCAGTACAATTGTGCCATTGCGGTGCTTTGGTCACTCCTCACATTTGCCGTTTTGTGAGCAGTCGTGCTTTGCCAAGCATTGTTCCCGGTCATCATTTGTGTTTTACTCGTAACGCATTGGTTGTGTTGAGCGTGTGCACTAAGTTAAGAAGTTGATGCCTCCTGTCATTTCGTTCCTACCTCAGTTTTTGCCCTTTCCCTTCACGTGATCTTTCTCTTCCTGTGCGTAGCGCGCAAAGTCCGACAAACATCTCGCAAGAAGGCGTCTGCACCGGGAAAAGAGCCTTAAGGGCTTGTCGTAGGTGTGCATTTGATGGCATAACACATTAGAGTGGGTGCTGCTATGTGCGTGCATGCGAGAGCTGTGTGAATGAGGGTGTGACGCGGAAGCGTCCTTAGTGCCATGTGTCGTTTGTTAGTCACGCAGACAAAGCTCGGCTCACTTTGCGACACTGGAACGTGTTTGTGACGGGGTAACGGAAAATATGGAAGCACGTCTGAACTTCTTTGGCGGGATGGCAAAATGCCAGTGCCAAAGCGATGAAAAGAAAGAAAAGAGACATTGCTGCAGCAGTGATTATGGCGAGGGACTGTGTGAGAGATTGCCTTGTTCGTGTAACCCAACAACTCAACATGTACCTAGTAGTTGCGAATGTGAGTTGCAGCGAGGTTGTATAGCGGAAAACGGATCCTTTTTTAGCTTGTACAGCCACGTTAATGTGTACAGATCGCACGTGACCTTCCTTTGCTTTCCTGCAATATTTTTTTTATCCCACGTATATCTGTCCGATTGACAATGACGTCTTGTAGAAACGACTCTACACGTTTGTCACAACTCGCGTATCTGGCACCCTAAGACACGCGACACCGTCACACATGTTCTTACACGCATCACCGATTTATCGTGGTTAGTTCTGCACTGTATCATACCATCCAGGCATTACCGTTTTAAAGCTTGTTTGTGCTTTGCTGGCACAAAACATACGTATGTATGGCAGCTGTGACCTCTTTTTATCATTTTCCGTTCTTACGCTCATTTCATTGTGTACGATAGAGGGATAAGCTTTGCTTTTCTGGGCCCTCCTGGGCCTGACGTGTACAAATCATTGGTTGAATCGAACGCGTGTTTTGGGCCAGTTTGTATGTCGAGTGACTTTTGATATGTGTTTGGTGTTCAGTGTTCGTGTACCTTTTGGAGCCAACCATGAAATGGGCTGAGCATGAACTTCCCACAAGATGCACAATTTGTCAGGCAGTACAAGTTTCGGGCGTGTAATAAGCCAGCAAGCGTGCCCACCCGCTGTGTTTTTGTAGTCACTATCTATGACTGCTATGTGCTCCTTGCACTAGCACAGTGCAATGTAAAAATATTGGCTATTATTCTAAGCTAGAAATATCTACTTCTATACCCCATGTTGTCTCCAGTGTGAGCGAAGTCAAAACTTTAAGCATGAGCATGTTTCCTTGAATAGCACTTGCACTGCTTGAGCGCTCGTGCATGGCAGGCATATTTGCAGCATGAGGCTCATTTTGTAGTTTTGGCTTCGCTGATACGTATGGGGAAGCAAAGTATAGCTCCGAATTGTTGTAGCTGTTCTGACGATGTCTCAGGAAAGGTTGCTGCTCAACAAATTTGTTTGGATCTCTCACCTTCATTTCATGCACAAGTTCCTGCGTTTTACTGTAAATTGTGTTGTGCTCAATACTGTAATTACTCTGTAAGACACTATTTATTCCAAAATTATGATTTTGTTTCCTGTTGCATAAAATTATTGATGTTCATCCTTGTAGAAACAGTGTTTGTGTTTTACGTATTTTTTTTTAAAGCCAGGTCTCGTCATACATGTTTTATACATAAAAAATTAAAGCAAAAATCCACTCTTTTAGAGAAGGTGCTAGCCGCCGAATTCGGGTGCATTGCTTGGAGTTTACAGGCAGTGCATTTGATGCGTAAGGTATCATCTGTCATTTTTTATAGTATATGTTTTCTAATGTGAATTATTTCTTACTGCTTTATTTCATTGCACTACCAATTTATGCATTGTTACATATGTACATTCTGTGATTTTCCTGCTTCTCGACTGACTGCCTCCCATAAAGAGAGAATATGTGTATGTTCTGTCTTGGTTTCAGTCACTCTCCTAAGCGTCGCAATCATTTTGCGAAACACTGGTTATACAATACAGCCTTTTCCGAAGAGCACGCCCAGCTGGAAATGAAGGAAGACTATCAATACGGATTCTTTTACTTTTTCGTGGCCTCCTAGAGTTGCTCAAGATCTATGCCTCTAGAGTCCTTCCTCCTCCAATTATTAACACTGTAGTCATTAGCCTGTTAGTATCACATGGCATTAGCCAACATAGCAGCTTGTCATAAGCATTGCCTTTCTGTTGCATACAGTTTAATGGATTCTGCTGGCATCTGTTGTCCCTACTGTTTGCTGTTTAATGGCATTACAATAAGATGGCTAGAAGAGAAATTAACTGGCCGCAGAAAGAATAAAACAAACTTATGTTCTTCGTCTCTTGTCTTGAGTTTGATTTATTCTTTCTGTTGCCAGTCAATGTAATTAACACGCTCTTCAGTTAATGTGAAAAGAAATTAGTCGGTGGTTTACAGTCGGGAAGGCTTTCAACCCTTTTCAACTCCGGAAATGCGTTGGCAAAGAACACAGATCTGCATCGTTCGTGCCCTCCTGTAGCTTGCTTGTTTCTCGAAACCCGTGACCTTGGCCTGCACACCCAAGGCAGCCTTACTGCACGGCTGGAGTGTATGTGTCAAGTTCAAACTACGGTAATTCAGTTATTTATTGAAATTGGTGTTGCATCCGCCAGGGTCCCCGCAGTCAAAGCGGAGATGATGAGCTGTCGGACAGTGGGCGACTTTTCTGGAAGGACTCGTAGCTGGGAATGAGGGGCGCATCCTGCAGGGCAAGATAAAAATTGATCTCTGTGATGATATGTGCATCAAAAGAAAGGAAGAATGCCAAGAAAAAATTTGAACAATGTATACAAATTTCTGTAATGCGAAATTAGAGCGCAGCTCTTGAGGTATTTTGATTTTGCGATATGCCATGCTAAAGAATTTGAGGAAGAAATATCTATGTAGAAATGTAGAACTCGCACCCCGGCATTCATAATATAAATTGTATATATATATATATATATATATATATATATATATATATATATGGGTGGTTTCATCTCAAATCGTGCAGGCAAAAAGGGTCGAATTTTCAATTTCGATGAAAAAAATATATGTTATGGCGCCTTTTCTAAAACCGTAGTCGACACAAACCGCAAGTTCGTCGGATTTTTTGTTCTCGACTTATGAATTTTTAAAGAGGCCGCGGCGAAAAGCAGTGTTTTTCACACCCGTCGTGGGTCGGATGTTTCGCTTGATCTCCCGCCATGGATTTTCAGTCCACATTATATTATCTTTTTTGAAGCACTCTTTGGACATATTTAAAAGGCTCCAATACCATGAAATAATTTTAGGCCTTTTGCTTTTTTTCTGTAAAAATGTCAAAAACGCCTCCTCGGTCAATTGTTGACGAACTTTGACAATTAATTACTGGAGATCTACTTGGGTTACACCGATATTTTTTTATGTCCACGGAGAGCCCAAAACACGCTCTTCATATTTATTATAAAATGCCTTGGTTGTTTAAAATATCCTTTGCGGTACGTTTACGTTAATATTATGCAAAAACCAAAAAGTACCATTTTTGAAATTGATTTTCTCAAAAAACCCATTTTTTATTTTTTCTATTTTTTGTTCAAATGTAGATATGATAGTTGTCTACACGAAAATCAAGCCTAGAAAGTGTATATTTTGTTTGTATGTTCTACATTTAAGCATCAATATCGTACGAAAACGTGTTTTTACGGCTCGAAATGGACTTGCGAATAGGTGACCGGCGTTTGAGCCGGAAGTTTCGTCATCCGTAGCGAGGCACCACGTGACTTCACGATTCCGGTTCGTCCGATGATGGTCGTGGTTCGTCCAGCTGCATCGAGAGCCAGTGTTGCCAACCGTAGGGTAATTACCCTACTTGTAGGGTATTTTAGGCATTTATGGTATATTGTAGGGCTGTAGGGCCGTCCGGCCATTTCCTCGCCAAAAGTAGGGTAATGTCAGACGTTGCTTCTTCAACGGCGAGCATAACCAAAAAAAAAAGAAAGCTGCCGCGCAAGTTTTGCATATTTTTACAACCCGTGTGCTGCCACACCACAACATCATGCAAAACGAAAGAATCCAAGTTGCAAGACGTGCTAATTGAGAGCACCACACACCAAGTTGGAGTATGTAGGCTCCCTAAGTTGGAGAGGATTGGAGAGCTGGAGCAAGTGGGAGAGGTGGGAGGAGGTGGAGTTGCGTGGGAGGAGGTGGAGTTGCGCTTAGGAAGTTTGGAGCCAGAAGAGGTATCTTCCCAGTGGAAATGGTCCCGCCAATTTTTTTTCTGATGACTGGTCCATCCGGCGGTCCTTGTTACACCTGTGAAACACGTGGCACCGCGGGCGGAACCATCCCGAGCCCACCAGGACGGGTCCATATCGCTTGAGCGAATGATGTTTTAGCGAACAGCGACATTTGAGCGAATCGACGTTGTAGCGAAGAACGGGGGCCGCGCTGCGCTTACGCCGTTTCGCGGCGACAGTCTGCGGCGGCTCATTACAAAAATGCTAATCCATTTGGCCCACCCGAAAACGCCGCTTCGCGGCGTCCGACCTTTCGCTAAAGTGTCATTCGGTAAAACGTGGGCGTTCGCTAAAACGTCATTTGATCAAGTGAGTGCATCCCGGGGACTGGAGGCATTCACTTGAGCGAACGACGTTTTAGCGAACGAAGCCGAAACAATGACGTTTCATCGAATGACATTTTAGCGAATACGGAGGGGTCGCCGGTTTCCTATCCTCCCCTGGTGTAAAAGCCTAGTTTGTCCAAATAGTACCTTAGTTTGACGAATCCCTAGGCGGTACACCCAAAGAAGCTAATATACCGTTCGGATTAGCCTCCTTTTGTAATGAGCCGCCTTGTCTCACGCCGCGAGTGCTGGTTCCGCGTAGCCCAGTTTTTAATTTCACGACAAATCGACTAAACATGGTGGTGGGGATGTCTGTGCGCTCGCTACATCACTGTTGTTCTGATGCTACACAGCGCACATACAAAATGCAAGCATGGTGTTCTAGAATAACGCAGGTATGCGCGTGTATGCGTGCCCTGTCGCTTTGTACTGTATTAATATTACCCTGTATCATCATAATCCATGCAACAGTATTATTTGAACAAAGATTTGCCTCGTAGGGTAAAACGTAGGGTAATAAGAAATATTCGTAGGGTAATGTAGGGTTTTCTGGACGCTGCCGTGGGGTATTTCCGAAAAATAGGTTGGCAACACTGTCGAGAGCCCTTCTTGGCGTGGTAGCCGTGCTGTATTCGCGGTGAAAATGGTTCACAGTTCCGCGGTACGTTGTTCTAACGCAAGCCATAGAGGGCATAAGATGTCCCAGTTCCCGTGAAACAAAGCATGGAAGCAACGATAGACCGTCGCTGTTAAGCGAGTGATGGAGCGAAGTGACCTGGTGACAGACAAACGTCGGTAATCGTTTATGCGCGGCCAATATTGTTACAGGCCAGTAGAACGTGTTCTCTCTTCAGGTAGGGGCCGCGGGAAATAACGATCTCTAACAGTCTTTTGGCACCCACCATAAAGGTCTCAATTAATCCGCGAAGGGGTGAGCACTGCTTGTCGTTCAAGGCATCCGCGAGAACGCGGGATGCGATCTCGCAGGCAATCAGTTCATGGCATGACGTTTCGTCGATATACAGTGCCATCGCCAGGCCATTTAATTCTTATATCGACAGCTCGGATTAACTTTTTCCGTAATGAGCCGCCGCAGACTGTTCCCGCGAAGTGGCGGTGAATGGGTGGCTTACTGTGATAAAAATAAACAAAAGAACAGGTCAGCTAGCTGTAATATAAAAAAGTAAAAGCAAATGGGCAGCACCTTCATATTGAGTGATAATAAAACGGTAGTACGACCCTGCGTAGTTTATATCAAAATCGGTGCTCGTTCATGCATGCTTTCTTACTCGACATCATTAAAAAAAAACGCGAGGGGGGGGGGGGGGGGGGGTATGGTAGTTCACGGGGGACAACTTAGTTGAAGAACCGAAAACGCGTGAGTGTTAAAAAACAGGGGAGGAAGTGGCCGAGTGGGCTAACGCGTCTCAGCTCGGAGCGTGGAGCGAAAGCTTGCGCTGGGAACCTCCTGGGTTCGATCCCCGCCGCCCCCGCCCGTTTCGATCTGGATGAGTTTCGTACTGGCACGCGTTCGTGTGATCACTACTGCGTGATGCACGTTAAAAACCCCAGGTTAGTGGTTGCACTGCACCGGCTAAATTTCTCATCTACAGCTAAGAGACCGATTACCCGTTGAGGCACATCTCCATCAAGGCTGTATAAAAATACAGAGCAAACCAATGTTTAGTGTTAAAAAGCAAGGATTGTCACGTAGTCAGATGTCATCGAAACTAACTTGTGTACGGATATGGCGTTTCAATCGCGCGAGAAAAAACATATTAGCCGAGTTTGAAACGCCGTCTGACCGACTTCTTTCCCTGTCTTCAACTTTTGATAGCTTCAAGATTTTCTTATCCAGTCTCAGGTGTTCCAACAAAATGAGAATAGTACGCCAGACCTCCGTTCGGGCGTTTCAGCTGATCGCGTCCTATGGCTGACATTCGCACCTATTTCAGTTGTGATGTGATCTAACTTAACGATCAAAAATAAACAGAGCCCAAATGAAAAACGCTGGCTCAAAAGGAAAACCAAACATCTAACCTGAGTTTTCATGCGAAGACCCGGAAAGCGTGGTGCGAGTGCAGCTTGCCACCGGCCGCACTCGCTCTGCGTTTTCGTGGCCGTTCTCGATGCTTCTGCGTACCGCCTACTACTTGACATATCCGTAGAAGTAACTTGAGACGTTCAGAAGTACGTAAGTCACCCAGCAGCAGAGGAAGGTGGCCCGGATTGATCGGGTTTCAACACCCGCACACGCTTCCATAGCCGTCCTGCGGCTGCGTCGGCTGCTAGCTACGAACCGGAAGTGAAGAATACCCGGAGTGCTTTGCGGCTGCTGCCAAACGCCGGTCACCTATTGCGCGTCTTCACAAGCTTGGAAATAGTTTTTTCTTTTTTTCAACGTTCCCACATAAAAATGAAATACAGTATTTCCACCCAGATATATTTCTTGATTATTTAAATTTTATTATAGGCGGCAAGCTACATCGGAGGCGTTCCAAAATGAGAAAGCAACACTTATTAACAGAGCAGCAGGTGTCGTAAATTTTTAACGTGTAGGAGTCGGCAGACGTCTTATTGATTCGGGGCCCTCATTGGCCTGCATGAACGTCCCGCCCTTTCGGAGCCAGCAGCCAGCAGATGACCACGACCTTTCGCGCTCGTTGTGTTAGATGGGACGGCCCGTGACAGTAAAGCGAGCAGCGCACCCTGTGTCACGAGGAGTGAAATGGTACGATTCTGTCGTTGACGCGGCGAGCAGTGACAGCCACCCAGGAGGAGTCTGTCAGAGTATTGCACAAGGGAAAGCAAAGGTATCGTTGCCTGAAAGGATGAGGACACCAGGGCCTTGCAATGTCGACGGTCAACAACTGTTCTGCCAGCCAAAACAACGCCGCGTGCGCGCTAAAACCGGCGGCGCGAGACAGAAATCCCACAGACGCACACTCGAAGATGGGCCGGTTTCGTTAGGGATGTGGGGGAATTTGAAACCAGCCATCCGTGCATGCGTGAAACGATACCGCCTGTTTGCCCTAGCTTCGAGCGCCCCAGTGTTTGGTTTCGTAAAGAATTGTATATATCGACAATGTGGTGACTTTCTTTGTCTTAGTAATATGACAGCAAATAGCTAGTCGTGCTAGTTTACTTTGAAAGGTTTATAAATCGAAACAATACAACGTCTGTCCCATTTGGTTATTGAAAGTCTACTAGGCCTGCTGATTTGGTTAGATATGTATCTCATGGTTCCCGCTCTTATCAAAACACATAAATATTCAATACCACAAAATCTGTTTATAATTGATTACAAAATGCAGAAGAAAATTCAAGAAAACTTTTTCACAATTCATAGAGACGCATGGGTCGCTATGTCTGACTTAGGTCTTGCAAAACAAAAACGTCTTTTTCCGATATTGAGGCCTAAATATAAAACATGCAAACAAAATATACACTCTCTAGGCTTGATTTTCGTGTAGACAACTATCATATCTACATTTGAACAAAAAATAAAAAAAATAAAAAATGGGTTTTTTGAGAAAATCAATTTCAAAAATGGTACTTTTTGGTTTTTGCATAATATTAACGTAAACGTACCGCAAAGGATATTTTATACAGCCAAGGAATTTTATAATAAATAAAAAGAGCGTATTTTGGGCTCTCCGTGGACATAAAAAATATCGGTGTAACCCAAGTAGATCTCCAGTAATTAATTGTCAAAGTTCGTCAACAATTGACCGAGGAGGCGTTTTTGACATTTTTACAGAAAAAAAGCAAAAGGCCTAAAATTATTTCATGGTATTGGAGCCTTTTAAATGTGTCCACAGAGTGCTTCAAAAAAGATAATATAATGTGGACTGAAAATCCATGGCGGGAGATCAAGCGAAACATCCGACCGACGACGGGTGTGAAAAACACTGCTTTTCGCCGCGGCCTCTTTAAAAATTCATAAGTCGAGAACCAAAAATCCGACGAACTTGCGGTTTGTGTCGACTGCGGTTTTAGAAACGGCGCCATAACATATATTTTTTTCATCAAAATTAAAAATTCGACCCTTTTTGCCTGCACGATTTGAGATGAAACCACCCATATATATATATATATATATATATATATATATATATATATATATATATAGTTAGTATATTATTTATATATTATATATGTATACATAAATTAATTATTTATATTATTTATATAAGGAAGAGAGGAGGGTATGGAGGACCGTCCTCTTCCTCCTGCTTTTCCTCTCCTCTTCCCACAGTTTCCCCGCTAAATTTAGCTGGAAAATTGATGCCATGTGACCTCAACACAAATTTAGTTTCCATGCCAAATTTAGTTGGGAAAACGATGTCGCATGACTTCATGTCCCGTCACCTATGAACAGATTTAGCGGGAAAGTTGACGTCACGTGACCTCAACACCAATTCACTTCCCTGCTAACTTTAGCGAGGAAATTGCATGTGCGGTGTTGCATAATGGGACGTCGCAGACCTACGCACCAAATCGGTTTCTTCGCTAGATTTTGCGGGGAATTGAATTGGTGTATATGTCTATGACGTCTTATAATGCAACGCGTGCGGTTACGCCGACCGCGAAACACGGGATCGAGCGCCTAAGAGCTGCGATCTAAAAACATGGAGGATAACATGGCAGTTTGAGACAAACAGTCTGCAACCCACAGATGGGCCTGGATGCCATTGGGTACAGTAGAATGTTTTACACCTTCAAGGGTGTACAAAGGTTGTTCTAGAGACTTTAAACACTCATGACTACACCCTTAGGGCAGCGTTATTTTGAGGATGCTTTTGCATAGAACAGCCTTTATTTTTGGAGGCTGTGAAAAGGGTGCTACAGTGCAGTGCAGAGTGGAGACAATTTAACAGCTTCATACATCCTTAACTAAAGTTGGTGTAGCGACTATATGTAGAATAATTGATGCCTACACCAATGCTTTTTAGTAGGAGAAAAATTCCATAAACCTTGGGAAACTTTTTAATTATTTAATAATTGAGAGAAAAAAGCAACATATTTGTATCGTCGATAATTGTTGAGGTGGTCACAGGTGAATTTCTGTTTTTCACCATATTTTATAATTATAAAGTTTGTATTAGTCAAAATTGTGGGGTTTAAATGTAAGTCCCTTTTCACACCCTAGACATTTTTAGTTTACACTGATTTTAACCCTAAAGTGTGGAAAAGGTTTTAGTTTAGCAAGGCCCAATCCAGGACTGGCTGAGGGTCACAAGCTGCCGTCAGGACATCCGTTCAGGTTGAAGTTTGGGAAGCAAGCAAGCCAGCTTTGTGCAGATGAAATATCGAGAAAGACTGGTTTCAGATCAGTTACGTCGCAAACAATATCTGCACAGTGAACCAAACTGGACTCTGCCTTAGGACCATCTGATGTAGATATTTTGTATTATGTCTAATAGGAATTGCTGCTGCTCAGCTTGATTTTGTAATTCTTTATCTACCATTTTTTTTCATTGTTTAGTATTTCATTACATATGCTTTCAGGTGTAACCTGAGTTTTGTTAGTTCAATTAATGCATCATTTTATCACACCTGCCTCGACTTTGATCCCAAACTTTGCTGTGAAAAGTTCAGCTTCCATTTGGTTGCTCCTGCAGATTGCAATGTACCTTTCAATTGGCGGAATGTTTTCACTTTCCCAGGGGAACTGAGGTCCAACGGCATCTTTCTTTTGTGCACTCCACACCGAGGTCCCTGTAGCGAGGGTACTTGCTTTCCCAAGGAGCTTTTTTGAAAGGGGGTAGGGGGGAGCGTGGCATTGCCGGGGGAGAAGGGGGGGGGGGGGGGGGGTCACCTTACAAAATTCAGGGGAGGATTGCTCTCCCGTAGTCGGCGCCTATATTTCTTAAAGTAGTAAGCTTTTTTGTAATTAACGAGAATGGTCTGGTTACTGGACACTCGATGTGCTCATGGATGAAGCATTGTTACTAAACATCGGGCTGTCGCCCTGGATGAAGCCTTTGGTTGAAACAAACATACGTTCTACGATTTCCGTAATATCAAGTTGTCTTGAACTTGCCTTGAAGTCTGGCTCCTCAACCCAAATCTGGTCTTCACCAATAATATTCATGGCGTGCAGTACCTGCAACATATACGTCAAACGTCTGTTGTAAATCTTTTGACAATTGGCTTTGAAATGGAGTATTGCAGTTTCGGACACACCGTTTTCAAGTACAGATATAATGACAAATGTACTGGATCCACTAAAAATAAAAGAAATGGTCGCTTAACAGACAGAGTTGCCAGTTTTACGTTCTCACGATCGGGTAAAAGACAGTAGCATTCTTGAATTACTGCTTGTGTATAGGAGTTGAGGTTGGTTTATCGCACCTCTCTGGCAGCTCTTTCACCCGCTTCCACTGCTCCATTCATGTATCCAGGCCATGCGGTTGCTGTCTCCGTGCCTGCAAAGTACACCCTGTGAAAGGGCTGACGCAGTGCCCTGCGCCGCATAAATAAGGGCATGTTAGTGGTATTCTTGCATTCCCATTGTTTGAAATTTGTTTAAAAATATTGCCATATGCCATCCGGGGATGCTCCGCCATAGGCCCTTTTCAAATGTGCGCACCACGTAGTAGTCTGCCATAGTTTGATCATGCACACTGAACACCAACGTTTCTAAAATAAGGTTGGGAAACTCGCACTCGAAACCCGGACCGCTCGCGTCCACCGAGACCGAACTAAATACGATAAGAGTGCCACCCTTTAGCGACGAGTCAAAACATAAAAGTTCATTTATACAGCTACTACGAAATGGCGGCGTTGCGATCGCCTTTAGTTCTTGAGTACGGATCGGAGCCGCTTTTTCAAAGCAGGCTCTTTGACGATTTCCCAAGTGAGTTCTGCAAGTACCCTAATGTTGCTGAGCCCGTATTGTACACGAGAGCTGCGTCAGCGTTCGGCGAGGAATGGGATCCAATCACAGCCCTTATACGCCAAAAATGGCGTCCGCCAATGTTGCTCGATGGGGTTTTGAAAAGGGTCAATTGCAAGGAAAGTCCCTCTAGGTTTTGCAAAAGCTGTATCTGTTTCGTACATAATGTACGACGCTGTCAGAGCCGCTGGTGCGAGCATACACCAGACACTGACTTACAACCAAAATTAATGGAAAAAAAAAAAAAAACCGCACCCGCGAAAACAGGCACTACATACTACTACCCCAAATTCACCCAATCACTTCACACTGACTTGGATATACTATCTCGCTTTCGTGCAGTGCAATGGATTTTTTTTTTTTTTTACTGCATATCGTATCCACGAACAAAAGTAAACAGGTTTTGACCGCATTGTTAGGAGCCATAAAATAGAGTGAAAACATATATCTCACTCTCCGCACTTGGTCATGATTCCAGGTGGGAGCGGCGAGACAGTACAGCCCCCTGAATATCGATCTTGTTGCCAATTTTTCTCTTCCGAATGAACAGGCTGAAAAAAAAAAAAAATTGCAACACTAAGCAGCTTTTTTTAAAATTTATTTAGGTCATGTCATGATCACATGGCAAAATGGTTTTGAAGATGCCTCCAAAACTATTTTGCACGAGCCGGCTATTATCCATCCTAAGCCGAAGAACTTCATTTGAAACTAGGGGTGTCGCGAACTTTAGTCGAACCAGATTTTTTGGTCGAACTTTCGGGGTTCGACTGGGTCGAACCGGTTCGACGAACCTTCGAACTTTTCACCAGTTTCGACCGGTTCGACTTTGTGGACAGTGTGGCCAGACTTTGATACAAGCATGTCTAGGTTTGGAGAATTTCTTTTTTTATGCAAAAGGTTATTTTATTGTGTGAACAACTGCAATTAAAAGAAACTAATGCTATTCACTGAAGAAGTTAACTTAAATTTTAGTACTGTATTGACTGAAATAGCCGATCAGCGTTGCACTTAATTCATCTCTTAGCCATTACCATCCAATCCGAAGCCAACTGGCCAGCCTGTCGCGCATGCGCACACGAGTCGAACCTCAATACAAGGTTCGACGAATTTTTTACTAAAAGTTCGAAAAAGTCGAACTCGAACCGCGGCCGGTTCGCGACACCCCTATTTGAAACCGAACACCCGCACCATCGCGCATCTCTGACGTCGCGCCGCCGCGGTGGCGCTGCTGTCGGTGCGGCGCATGCGCAGATGCTGTCCACGTGAATATGGTTTCTGCGCACGCGCAGTAGCCCCGCGTGGCGTGGCAAAACGCGGACTTGTTTACAAACGGCACCGCCTTTGCTCGGCACTGTTTTTACTTATTTATTTATTTATTTATGCGTTGCATTAGTACTGACATGACAGGGAAGAAGCTGACGGCGTCCGTCTGTGGACAAAACAGTGGAAAGGGAAGCGCGCCGCTTAAGAAAGAGGAGAGTAGTGAAGGACACAGGCGAGAAGGAGGTGACGTCACGGGGCGGAAGCCAATGCGCGCTCGGATGCTGGGGCGAGTCTGAACTTGCAGGTGTGCGGAGCGTGTAGGCCTTGGTTTGTGCTACAAAATGGAGTGTAAACCAAGTACTAGCGCTAATCCAAATAAGCAACAAAAACAAAAAAGGGGGAAGATTTTTTTGGTAGATTATAGGGAATACGTTAGCATGACCCTTGGGAAACGCCGAACGCGTCCCCCTTTGGGAAGCGCTAACACTGACCCCGTAACGAAGCCAAAAAGAGGCAGCAAAAAACAGGAGAAGCAAAAGAGAAAGCCAAAAGAGAAAAATGAAGGGGTCAGCTTTAGCCTTTCCCAAAGGGGAACGTGTGTGGCGCTTCCCAAGGGGCATGCTAACGCATACCCTAAGGATCCACCAATGGATTTTCCTTCAATTTTTGAAATACTATCGGTCCTATCACAGGACTAAGATAGGAGTAGAATTTACACAACACACGGAAAGACGCGCAAACTGATTACAACAGTGCAACCATTCTAGTACATTTCAATTAAAAAAAGAAAACATCAGTTGATAACTGTAGGTGCCACTAATCGGAATGCCTGAGGCAGGGCCGTAACCAGGGGGGGGGGGGGGGGGGATAGGGGGTTCTGACCCCCCCCGAAATTTTTTTCTGTGTACGGCCCTGGTCGGTGCACTGGCAGCCAGCCGATTTTAATCTCCACCTCTGCGCACGCGCAGTGGCGCCGGTCGGCTACCGGGTACCAAACCGGGACCGGATCTCCGGTTTGCTGTAACTCTCCATTATATGCCACCGATGTACATGATTCATAGGCGAAAATAAGACAATAGACACTTTCAAAATGGCCGCCGTTGTCCCCAAAACCCCCCCCCCCCCCGAAATTTTTTTCTGGGTACGGCCCTGGCAAGGTAAGCAAGTTCTTCCCGACTGTCAGCAGCCATAACGTGCACGTGCTAAAAGTTTGGGTCATTCCCGCGATGTGTGCAAACACATTACTCTAAAACAATCATTAGAAAACTTCCCTTCCAGATATCATGTTAAGCTTGCCACGGGTTATACGAGACATTCTTTTTATTTATATGTACTAAACTGGTCGCTTGTTTACAACAACCAAATTATTAATTACGCTGTAAAAAAATTAAACCGTTTTTGCTTTTTCTTGTTGAGGATGGGTAGATTCGCTATTTCACAAAGGGGTGACACCAAGTCTAGCCCAGTTTTGGGAAGTACTTAGAGTACATATTATCTAAACTACTACAAGTAGGTTTAGAAAACTCGTACTTGAAGTAAATTCTCTGAGCATATACTTGTACTTTACTTTAAATATTTTTTTGTTCTGGTTCTTCCGGGGAAAGTACAACTCCTGACTTCAAAGTACATTCCCCAAATTTGGTCTCGGTGAAATTGAGCCGTTTCCAGAACAACGCGCTCGTGTCTTTTGTTTTCTCAGTTAGCTCAAATTCGACCTCTAACAAAAAAAAAAAAAAAAAAAAAGCGTATCGTTATGTGAAGACGTGCAACGTCTTTCGAGACGCTGGTCACTTTTCTGAGTGAAGTAATTGTGACTATAAAATTGATACAAATAACTGCCTTATAAGTTGATTGTGTTAAATAGTTTGTCAGCCACCAGCGAGAGTAAAACAACTAGTACTCTTTTGTACACTTGAATTTATCCAATATTCGCTGCCATTTTCGAAAATAACTGATGCACCCCCGATCACCTCTGGGCCAATGCCTATTAGTGAAAAATAAAACACTATGAGGCAATAAAAGGGCATCGTGAAAAGTACTGTTAAAAACTTCTTGTACTTTATTTGAGAGTACATTGTATTTATAGTATTTTACTTCAAGTACATTGCGCCCGGTGTACTTTACTTGAAGTACATAACCTCTCATTTACTTTGTACTTTACTTCAAGTACTTTTTAGATGTACTTTACCCAACACTGGACGCTAGCTTTAATAAAGCTCCCATTCGCCATCTCTATCTGTTATTTCCTTTTATTGCAGACGCGTGTATACTTACGTCGCGAGCCTCTTCGCTTTCAAATACCTTTGCCAAGTCTTCAGCAATGTTAGTCGTTCTCTCTTCCTTCGACATTTCTTGTAATCTCAGCAGGTTGTTGCCGCTGACAAAACTGCGAGGACGGCAGCCGAACGCACAAGCTTTAATAAATACTGTGCGCGCTCAAAAAGGTGTCTGACCCAAACGTACTCTCAAAACAGTAAGCATCCCTTTTATATCCCTGGCACTCCTGCTTTGTTCCATGCCGAGTATATGCGTTGCGTCGACTGCGTTGCTCAACGTTGTATCGTGTGTGTGTGTGTGTTTTTGAGTGTGTGTGTTTGTGTGCGTGTCTGTGTGTGTCTTCTTTTACTGGTCCTCGTTTTTTAGCGCTTTTAATCCTGAAATGTATCACCAAGTAGCCCGAGTGAATACCCTTTTACAGTGCCTCCCCATTGGCTCGTCGTAACGGTCGCCATAGCAACTGTTTGACGCAAGCAGTCTGAACGCAGTCAAACGCGACCGTAAACGAGCTTTGCACGGTGGCACAGATGTTCGCAGGACATACATGAATGATATCTCGAGTCAAATATGTCCTCATGACATTCTGTATTCTGTCACGGTAATTTGGGCTACCCAAACTAACTATGCGTTCTCGGAATGCCCGGGCTGTACTTTTCTCAGCACGCTCTTTGTTATCTCCATATTCAGAACACATCTGTTGCGAAAACGGCAAATGAAGGTAATACCCGACATTCAAATTTTCCCGTGCTTTTCAATAACCTAACGTCACGTGTAGAACTTGCAGGTCAAACGAACAGCCTAACGAACACATTGCGTTTTTTTCTTCTGCTAGAGTGATTTCATAGCATCAAACTTGTTATAACTTGTTGGGAATAAGTTATAGGGTGTTTTCACTGACGTAATTTCGTCCACCATTTTGTTGTGCGCTGTCTGGTGTGTGCCAAACTTGAGCATTCCAAGGATTTGCATGCCCCCTCAAATGCGTAGAGCACAGAAGCTTATGTCTTACCTCGTTGATATGATATCAGCCGGTTACGATGCAATCTTTCAATGTAGTGAATTTGTTTGAAAACACAAACTAACAACAAAATGGCGGATTGACGTCATATGCAAACAACCTATACTGTGAAAATGACAACACCTGTCGTCACTTTTTCAGCGTTGCCTGTAAAATCTTTCAGTAGAACTATACAATTATAAGGACCAAAATCTTAAAATTCAACAAGTTCGCGACAAAGAACAACAAATATTTGACCTATTATTTCAGTTACTACTTCAGCCGTGTTTATTGATGCGTTGAACAAATTTTGTGGCACATCCGCGAGAACCAAATTTACTTTTCCTGTCTTTGGCCCGCAAGAGGAGCATCGAACCTCAAAGCAGGGCACCCTTGTTGGAGATTGTGTCCTCTATATTGCGCATTTACTGGACGCCATATTTGTGGGCTCTGTTCAGAGTGAATCCCGGAGAAAAGCTCACCGGAGAAAAGCTCACCGGAGAAAAGCTCACCGGAGATAAGCTCACCGGAGAAGAGCTCACCTCAAAACCGGCGGATGCGGAGAAAAGCTCACCGGCCATTGAGCGTATGCGGAGAAAATTTGATCACCGATATTTTTTCTTCTTTTTATATGGGGGTTGTTGGATCGAGCGTAACATATATCAATTTATTATCATTGAAATTCGTCAGCTTTGTGAAAAATAAAATGTCCTCTTTTGTAATATTTGTTAAGCTTATTGGGTATATTGCTCCCAAATTAATAATTGCGAGAGAGTATTTTTTGTGGCTTACTTTCTATGCAACGAAAGCCTAACTAAAATCTTTATGAACTTAAAGAACAGGAAAAAGTTAAAAAAAAAACAAAGAAAAAACGTATTGATGACTGCCTGGAACCTAAAAATCAAAGGTGTAAATGCCGAAAATCTAAAAGGGCACGCGCAACAACGCGGTGCCTGAAATTCTCTTTGAAGCTTTTGTGTTAACATTTGAAAACAGGATAAAACGGTCAATAGGATATCGAGGCTTCTTTTTTTCCACGGACATGTACGCTTTCAAGCCGTTCATGCTTCCACGGACATGCACGCTTTCTAGTGGTTCGTGCTGCATGGTGTTTCCACACGTTCCCTTTGTGTGTGATAGCGCCTTCTACGGTGAGCCACCCATGACCCCCAGAGCTACACACTGCCACCGTTGTTACTCGTGAGCTATATAAGAGCTAGTCTTTTGTAAGGTATAGGTAGCGAATAGACCGATCTCACAGCTAGTTTGAGTACGCCACCGCTGCCGACATGCATCGTGGGAGCTGTAGTCTTTCTGCACGCGCGACAACCCTGCTGGAGGTCTGCGTGAGCAGAGCACGAGGCGGCATGAGCTATCTCGTGAACTGGCGTCTGCATCCTACAAACTACAGTTATGGCGGCGTCACGCATGCGTGGAACGCTTGGTGAGATCGGTCTATTGGGCGAGTTGGTAAACGTTACACATGATGAAAACCGCTCAAACGACGACGACGGGGTGAAGACAACAACACGACACGACGAAGCTGTTCTCGCCACTAAAGTTTTGTTAGTGAAATTAACTGAAGGAAAACAGCGTAGCCGACACTGATGACATCAACAAACATCTACTTATCTATTAGGTGCTACAGAACATTTGGACCTCAAGCGATTCACACACCGCTATTCATATTAGCTCACAAAAAACAAACCTCTTTATCTGACAGGGCTACTGACGGCGCACCCTCAACTGTCAATAAATTGTTGCCTTTTTTACCGGTGTACGATGTTCTGATTTTATACTTGCGGCTTCAATAATTTACAGAATGGGTGATTACTAATTTCTGAGGAAATAGTAAATATGCCCAATGAACCTCAAGACGCAGAATCAAGCTAAGCTAAAAAAATATCGGTGAGCTTTTCTCCGCATCTGCCGGTTTTGCGGTGAGCTTTTCTCCGGTGAGCTTATCTCCGGTGAGCTTTTCTCCGGTGAGCTTTTCTCCGCCGCCCGTTCAGAGTGCATGCTCAGAACGAGCTCACATAAATAGGCTGCTAATCTCGATGATATGGAATTCACGTTTCAAAAGAACTGCGGAAGCTTGCCGTCAGCACACGCTCAACAGTCGGGCACCTGCAGCTATGGGGTTCCGGAGGGAATGTCCCGGGAAAAAAAACGTCCCCGGAAAAGATATCCCCGGAAAAAAAGGCCCCGATCGGAAAGTAGGAAAAAATGTCCCCAAAGGGTTCTTTATCGCTGAGTTTTCCCCGATTCTCAGGGCCTTCAGGCAGTCCTGTCATTATCCGGTCACAAATGACCTGACCCACTTAGGAAGAAAGGGAGACTGGAAGTCACACAAAGCAACCTAAATAATTTATTGTGGAATATTTTGGAAAAAAATTATTGTGTTTGCCAAAACCAAATATTGTGTTTGTTTGTTTTTTCGTTGTAAAACAAACAAACAAAAAAAAAACACATTTATAACATTTCTAGTGAAAACCAAATTTCTTTGTTTGGGGGAATTTGAGGGGTACTTGTGTACCATTTCCAAATAGGTAAAAAGCGCGACATTGTTAGCTCAAACAAGCGATCGCTAGTTTTTTTTTTTTTTTTTTTTTTTAGAAACAAAAGGTTGTCATCAAAGTTATCATAGGTACTGAAAGTGCTCATTTGAGGATATAATGCAGACGGTAAAATTTCGTTCCCACTAATACACTTTCTAAGTAAAATGTGAAAATGCGCCGATGTCGTGTTCGCGCTAACAGTGTCATCATCATCATCATCAATTATTATTCCTTGAAGGCCCAGGGGGGCATTATACAAGGGAGTAAACACTTAAAAAACAAACAAGTAACAAAACTATTTATCTACAAAAACACGCTGTAATCTAATTATGGGTTAGAAAAAACAAGCTAATGGCTGCAAAAAATTTCTTAGTATCAGATAAGGAAACAATTACATCAGGCAGTGAGTTCCAGTCGTCAATGGCCAATGGTAAAGTAGACATTTGGTGAGTGACGGTTGACGATGAAATCGGACGGAGTTTACAAGAATGGTCGAGACGAGGGAAAATGCGGTAAGGAGGTGATAACAAACTTTGTCTGACATGATTGTTGTAATAAAAGATCCGATGAAGATGAGAAACACGAGACACCCTGCGGCGGGTGAGAAAGAGTGTCAAGGTTAGCTGATTGGCGAAGTCCTGATATGCTTGCGTAAGGGGAATAGTCGGAATAAAAAAAACGGAGGGCCCTGCTTTGAACGGATTCCAGGTTGTTAGTTAGGTATGCCTGCCACGGTGACCATATGGAACGAGCGAATTCTAGTTTAGTTCTGACCAAGGTAGTATAAGCTAGTTGTTTTACGGGGGATGTAGCTTGTCTGAGGTTTCGGCGAAGAAATCCGAGAGTGCGGTTAGCATAGGCGATGACAGTTGTTATATGAGTGGTCCATGACAGGTCAGATGTCAGATGAATGCCTAGATATTTATACGATGAACAAGCAGTTACTGAGATGCCAGAAAGGTGGTAAGAGGATGATAGAACATGTGAACTGCGGGGAAAAGATAGCGATTTACATTTATTATAGTTTAAAGCCATTTGCCATTTATGACACCACTGAATTATAAGTTGGAGATCGTTTTGCAAGGTTAGCTGATTGTGGCGTGAATGAATTGGTCTATATATGACACAGTCATCGGCGAACAAACGTACTTCAGAAGTGATGCCATGGTGGAGGTCATTAATGTAAATTAAAAAAAGAGAGGGGGGCCAAGAACGCTTCCGTGAGGGACGCCAGACGTTACTGTGCTTGTGGTAGATTTTATATTGTTAATAGAAGGGTACTGTGTGCGATTAGTAAGGAATTCAGAAATCCAATTGACTACTGAGGGGTGAAGATTAATATTTCTTAGTTTCATTAAAAGACGTAGATGAGGGACCCTGTCAAATGCTTTGGAGAAGTCAATGAAGATGGCGTCAGTTTGAACATTGGAATCGAAATTTGAGTAAACGTCAGTTAGAAATGCTGTTAGCTGAGTTTCGCATGAGTAGGACTTGCGAAATCCGTGCTGGTGCTTGAAAAGGAGGTTATGAGAGTCTAGAAAGTTTATTATGTTAGAATAGAGAATGTGCTCCAAGAGTTTGCATAAAACGCTGGTGAGCGAGATCGGACGATAGTTGCTGATCTGTTGGCGATCGCCTGTTTTATGAACGGGTATGACGTTAGCAACTTTCCAATCAGATGGTACTTCAGAGAGTTTAAGAGATTGATTATGTCGCAGAGGAAAGTGGAAGAAATGTGTTTAGTGTTTATTAATACCTTAGAGTTAATTTGGTCATCTCCGGAGCTGGAGGACACCTTTAGTTGATCTACAGCCTTAAGTACTCCAGTACGGTCAATTACGATAGGATCCATGAGAGGGTCAGTGGACTGGCACGAGTCGGGAATACTTAGTAAGTCCTCCTTAGTAAAGATGGAGCAGAAGAAATTGTTAATAGCAAGAGCGCCGTGTTTACCAGAAAGCGGAAGTCCGTCGTCATCTACAAATTGTAAAGGAAGTGAAAGTGGCGGATTGATTATTTTTCAAAACTTCTTTGGTTTCATGGTTAGTATGTTGGGGAGGTCGATACTATAGAATTTAGTTTTGGCGTCATTTATTGCTGATTTATAAGCCCTAGCACATTCGTAGGAGGCGTTCCAAGAAGCCGTAGTGTTGACAGCCTTAGTCCGCTTATAGAGTTTTTTTTCTCTATTGGATTGACTATGAATTGTTTTATTGTACCAAGGGTTAGTGTTATCAGATATAATACGGGTCAGTGGAATGAAGCGTTCGATTAGGTAGATCATTTTATCTTTGAATAGAGTCCAGTTTTCATTAACCGTCCTTTCCAGAAGTTAACTGAGAAAGTATGATAAAAATCTTCGAGGTTCGAGTTGATTGATGCGTAATCAGCTCTCGCGTAATTGCGAATGAATTTGCAGTACTGCGATCTACGAGGAGCAGAGAGAGAGAGAGTTAAATCGATGACGAGATGGTCACTAATGCCGGGTACGTATGTGATGTTACTGAAGAGTGAGGGGTCTTGGCTTAAGCATAAGTCGAGTATATTGCTACAGTGATTAGTAATCCTAGTAGGCTGAGTGATAACATTTGAAAAGTTGAAATCTAAACAAAAGTTTATAAATTCTTGAGACAATGCGCAACTAGAAGAGAGGGCAGACCAGTCAATGTTCGGGTAATTGATATCACCAAAGAGAGTAACAAAGGCGTTAGGGTATTTAGTTGTGATTTCAGAAAGACACTTATATAGCTTGTTAACAAATTCTTTATCACTATCTGGCGGCCTATAGCACACAGCCACTATTAGGGGGTGCGTCGTAGCGACGTACACACATGCAACGCGATGTGTATCTCGGGGAATCGTATATTTCCTTATTTGTTGAGGCCGTTTTTTTCATATACTTGCCACAGGGTGCCTTTTTTTTTAAGGAAATATGACCGGACCGCCCGAAGGCCATGAGGATCAGGGAAACCCAAAGATAGAGAATCCTTTGGGGAAATTTTTTCCCACTTCCCACCTGGGGCCTTTTTTTCCGGGGACATTTTGTCCGGGAACTTTTTTTCCGGGGCCATTTTTTCCTACACCCGCAGCTATGGTTTTTAGTGAATACTCCCTATTCAAGTCACCTCAAGGTCAGTTCAAGGTCACTTCATGCATTAGTACGACCGTTCAAGAGCTCACACTGCCAGTGCTGGAAGTGAAAACCTGGGCCTGCAGTCGTCTGAGACGCGGTTAAAGCAAAGCTCGCTCCCGCTGCTCAACACAGACCCGCTGTAACCTGTAACGAGAATATTAACACGTGGTTTGATTTCTATCGATGCATGTTCATTTTTTGTATTTGTATTTTTGTATTAGCCGCGTGTAAAATATTCCATGTTTTCGAATCAAACACAGAAAAATAAATACTGCTTTTGCGCCAATTTTCGACTGAAGACTAGGCGATCTCGCCATTGTACTTCGATGTCTGGGTCGCCCGTTTTAAACAAGCGATTATACTACGTTTGTACGCTTTCTACTTATCTTTAGAAAGAGCAGGCACTGCACCAAAAAGTAGGGTGGAGAGAAAAAAAAAAGCAAAAGTAATTAGTCTAAATCACGATGTTAATCGTTCTCTAAATCACGTGAATGTTTGCTACTTCGATTTAAATCAGATGTTCTCCCGAAAACATTTATCTCGAAAACAAATGTGATTCAGATTGAAGACTGAATCACTTCGTACTTTCAATGAAAACATTGATTTGTGACTTACGTCGTCAAAAAGCGCACAACATTTTTTTTGTTTGTTCGTTTGTTAAGACAAAGTAAGAAAACAAGGTGGTCCACCTTTGAGTTAAGCAATAGGAGTGTTGAGCTGTTTCACTTTGCTCTCAGGAGCTCAATGTTGTTGAAAGCTAGCAACTAAATACTTCAAGTAAAAGCCGACGAATCTCTCAGTTTCTCCAACTCCTTTTCAGCCCCACCGGCAGGTGAAATGCACCGGCAAGTGATTTCAGTGCTGTCGTTATTTTTCGAGTCTGGTTCGTTTCAAGCGTGCAGCTTTTCGCGTGAATCTAATTAGGATAACTTAGACTGACCGGAACCGGACATTGATGTTTTTGACTTCACTGACAGACGGCATTTCAGGATGAAAGTGTGCTACTCTGTGGGAACGTTCACGTGGCATCGGTTATCCACTTATCCTCAACTTTATCCATGGCGAAATCTGTTTTCACGAGATACTGGTATGTATCTCAAGTGGCATATATTTTAAATTCATTAGGACAATTAAAGCATATATATTCACTAACGTCTATATCATAACTACTAAGTGGTTTATATCTATTATCAAGAATGTTCGAGCGAGTTGTAATTAAAATATCTTTATGTTTGTTTTGTATGACCATATTTCAACCACTTTTAAGCATAAGATTAGCCTTTCGCAACATGGATTTGTGCGCGGAGGTCTGTTGAGACTAATTTAGTATAATTTCTAAATCCTGTTTTACCTACTGTATGTCAGCGTGGACAAGTGGACAATAAATATTTCGACCTTTCCAAAACCTTTGATTTAGTCGACCACATAAATTATGATCGACAGTGAAAGGAGAACACGGACAGAGCGCTGACTTACAACTGAAAAAAAAAAATTACTTGTGCACGGTACAGCAAGAAAACATAAAATGAACAGGATAGACAAAAACAATCAATCCGTTAGCACACGCCTCCCCCATCATGCTGTCACACGCCTACGCGTTTCAGCATGATGGGGGAGGGGTGTGTTATTGGGTTAATTGTTTTTGTGTCTCTTTTAAGTAAATTAGTAATTAAAAGTAAATTTTTCAGTTGTAAGTCAGCGCTGTGTCCGTGTTCTTCCACTGGTCCTCGGCACTTTTGCGCTGTTTTGATACCTCTTCAACTTTCACAGCCGGCGAATTCTTCTCAAAGCGTTTCCCCCTCTCCTGCCTCTACCCTTTTTCTTTGTCTTTTGTTTTTACATTTGTGTTGCTTGGCCAATGGAGCCCATGGCGCAGTTGTTTGGCAAACTTTCTTCCACCTTAGCGCTCCTCACTTTCCAGAGCTCAATCTAGAGCCACTAAATGAGCTACGCTTAGGGTATCGAGCGTCGGCACACTGTTCCCCGATATTGTTGTGGGCGCCGCCATCTGTACTGAACAGGCGCTATTGCCGATCGTCATAATTCAAAAGTGCGACATCCTCAGCATTAGATTCGGTGTTAGGAAGCTCACGTAATATTGCTTTGCTCTGTCGCGAATTGTTTAAACATTTGTGGAGGACGGAAAAGCGTTTTCTGTGGTTTCAGATAACGTTGCAACCATGATTTAAGCCCCACGATGGTTAAGTGTCGTTATTCTGAGGCATAGCTTAGTAGTGGCAGTAGCTCAACCAGTCAGTAAGATTGCAATTCTGCATTAAAATAATATAACATCAGTTGTGACATTTTTTAGGTGAACGGAATTGAATGGAAGGATCATATACACGCCTACGTGCCTTTCTCCCTCCAGAAAGGTGTTCTGTAGTACATGATTATTTTGATGGCAGATCCGGCGATGCCTTGCCGAACCAGCTCGTGCTTTAGCGGAGGGAGAGCTGGCTCGAAGCCGATCTTCAGTTGCATGGAAAAAGGCACAGCTACGATGGCGTAGTCTGCCTGCAAATGGATGAACACTTCGAATGAGGTAGCGTCTCTATGGGACGACCAAAGCAAACTGCGAGATTGTCTGCGGCCGTTCGTCGCTGCTCGATAGCCAAATGTAGCGGCAAAACTTGAATTGGTGCATGATATGAATTATTTCCAAAACCCTATCAGTCAATATCGGCGGTCGCTATATCCTGGGCAGGGAGCGCGTGATTATATCCGAGACCTCGCCGATCACCGACGCGGTCCTCGCATCCACTATAAGTGCTCAGAGTACGTGATCAAACTGCGGCGGCAGCAGTAATAAGACACGTTTTATTGTGCCAAAAGTATGGCAGATTCGGAAAATTGACGCAGCAGCCACTAGATGGCGCGACCTTTTGAGATGACCCGGGCTATTATGCGCAAATTTAATTTGCCCAAATAAATTTAAGGAAGTTTTTTTTTTCCTTTTTTCCGCTAGATATTGCGGGAAAACTTGGATTAATCAAATTCCCCGCTTACGAAAAATAAAAAGCACGAAAGACAAGGGAAAGTGGAAGACTACACAGGAAAAGCGCTGTTTATTTTCGTAATGTTTAACCAACTATAGCCAACAAATTATTTCGCTACAGTTCCCCGCTTAGTCTATAGCAAAAAGCGTGCCCCTTGCAAAAGTTATCCCGAATTCAATTTCCCCGCTAAATTTGGTAAAACGCGTCTCCCTACTTAATTTATCAGGACAACTCGAATACGTGTTTAATTTGTTCCGCCAAATTTAGTGGGAAGGGTTTCCCCGGAAAATTTATCGGGAAAAAAATGGCGCGAAAACGGCGCCGCGCTGAGGCAGATCGAGAATGGCGAGCTTGACGGACATCTGAAGCGGTGCAAAGGACTCGAAATGCTATCGCATTACATCCCCGTTTCTCTCCAAACCCACCATTACTCTCTCTCTCCCTACATATCTGTTGGCAGCAGCCAAAAAGAAGGCGTAAATATATATATTTTTAATTACATAGCTTTTTTTAGGCTTTACAGTTACCTGATACATTGACCCATCGGAAAGGGTCACCTTGACTCCGCCCTCATCTTGTGCCACATCACTAACGTGAGCGCTGAGGTGCACTTTCTCTGTGTGGTAAATATATACATGGAATAAGGTACAAATTTCAGCGCGCCTCGTATATGTTTTAACCGCGAGTAAATCAACGTGACAAGTTACCTCCAAGTAACTTGTGAATACTTTCACTGATGACCATAGACCCTCCATCAAATTTTCTCTCCTGGGGAGTAAATAAGTACGTTTAATTCAACACGCAGAATGTTTTCCCTTTAGACTTTAAAGATTTGTAAAAAGACTTTCAGTCTTTCCACTCTGGTGAAGAAGGAAGACCAGCAAAGCTGTACAATGGAAAGTAATGGCCGGCCGCAAGTCGGCAAGCCAGAGTGGAAAGGCTGCCGCATCTATGAGCGGCGGCGGCAACCAGATACGTGTCTTGCCGCCGTCGCCCATAGATGGCGGTAGGTGTCCAGAGTTTGGTGTCTTCATTACTTTGCTGGGGACACGATCCTGGGAAACTAGCCCTTAACAACTCAACTGAAAAAAAAAAGAACTTGTAAAGGTTACATTATGCGATTCGCAAAGGTGAGATATACGGCCAGGGGTACATAGAAAAGGAGGCCGATCGTAATGATAAGTCGAAGAATTAACTAAAATTTGTCCATTACCTTTTTAATTAGTGAAAATAAATATGTGGTTCCTATTGGAAACTTTTTGTCGAGCTTTATCGAAACAATCTAAATAAGCAGAGTTTAGAAACACCATGAGCGCGTCGGGAGCATGGTCGTGTGCTGAAGTTACCCTGCACTCGTGCATCAGGTGCAAGGCTGGGGATGTGAAAACGTGGATAAGAAACGGGAAAAACCTCGCGGGCGTTTTTTCTCGCCGCCAGCATGCCTGTTGCACGCGCGTTAACTTTAGCACTTTATTTTAATTATTGGTTTAGTGGTCTTCGATGAAGCTCAGCAAGTTTCCAACTAAATCCACATGTTTGTCTTCACTAATTAAAAAAAGTTCATTTACACATTTTAGTTTATTAACCAACTTGCTTATTTATTTATTTATTAATACTGTTCACCCTTTTTTCAAGGCGGTTACAGCAGTGGAAAAAAACAACACATACCAAAACATTTCACAATGTATAGACTGACACACTGTTTACTAACAAGCCCGCGTTTGCCCACACCAGGTGTGGGCACTGCGCATGCGCACAAATCGAATTCGTGTGAAGCGTCTGAGCATGCGCAGTGCCGTCTACAGAGCCACCGCAGCTGCACGTGACGTCAGGGCCGCGTGTTAGTCTATTAGAAATATATTGTACAACCACGCGGATACAAGCGCATAAGTTTTAACACGCTTTCTGACAAAAATGTTTGAAATGTAACTACAAGACACACTCAGAGCACCCAAACAGTTTCGCTTCTCCCGCGTTTCTTCGAAGGCAACAATATTATTTATATTTACAGTATCATCTGGTAGATCGTTCCATTGCATAACAGTTCTAACAAAAAACGAATACTTGAAAATGTCATTGTTCACCCGTTGTATTTCAAAGGCCTTTTTATGCACACCGAGCGAGTGGCGGGAGGTGTCAATGTTTAGCTCGTTTCGAGAAAGCTTAAAAAGGAGTTTAAGTCTGACAATTTCTCTGCGATATGACAACAAAAAGAGAGGTTTACTTTTTTGAGCATTGAAGCCCCCGAGTCAGTTGGACCATACCTCGAAAGGATAAAACGGGCTGCCATTCTCTGTATTTTTTCTAACTTATCAATCTGGTTCTTCCTAGACGTATCCCACACAGCACAGGCGTATTCCAGGGTTGGCCTTACCAGGGCTGTGTATAAGGTGCCCCCCCCCCCCCCCCCCCCCTGGGCCCCTACAAAAAAAAAAAAAAAAATACAGTGTTTTTTTTTTATCGCAAAAATAAGCTACGCATCACCGATTGTGACGATTAGCCTCGTATATTATGTCATTCTGGCCGTATAACTCACCTGCAAAGACCACATTAGCGAAACTTTTACGGCGGTTTTTTATGCGTGTTTTTAAGCTTGCGCTGTTTTTTTTTTTTTTTTAACAGCTTGTAATGCTCAGAAAGTGTTTGAGCTTGCGCGATATAAGAGCATCAGCACCGCGCTTTTGAATCAAAGATTAAAGGTTTGAAAATGGAATTAAAAAATAAATACGTGGATTTAACTATACGCTTCGACTGATGTTTCTGCGTTTAAATTCGTGTAGGGTTTTGATAAATTTTATTAGGTTTCTGAACTCGCATCGATATGCGCTGACAAGTAAACATTTTTAAGATAACGTACGCGAAGTTATAGCTAAATAGGGTTCCGTCACTGTGCAACCTTTTGGCATTGGAGGCCTTTACTCTACGAGTCTACATTGAATACTAAGAAAGTCAGAGCGCAAACCTGCTGGTGGAGATTACTATACATAGTTAGAGACTTCGTGTGGTGGTGTCGTTTTTGCTTCCTGCAGTCTCGGGGTTGAGTTATGTCTTTAAATACTCACTGTTTTGTTTTGAGTGCTGTGGTTCTAAAATTCTTATTGATGCGTCTTATACAACGGTGGTACATATACGTATAAACAAAATGCCCACCCCCCCAAAAAAAGGGAATTTTAGTGTATTTTTGTGTGTGTTTTTTTTACCGCAAAAATAAACTACGCATCGCCGAACGTTCCTTCCTCAACCAAATGTAATACCAGGCGTCCCAAACAGATGATAAAGTTTCAGCTCTCAACGTTGTCTTAATTAATAGTTGTCAGTGAATACAATTTCAACGGGGAAATGGCAGCCGACATAGCTTTCGAATACATGAAGCTTTATGGTGCCAGTTATCGAAAAGGGGTAAAAATGGACCCCATTTTCCCATTGAAGATTTCAGAAAATCATCTATAATTCTTTTGAATAAGATTTAAGAGTTAACGTTGAAACTTAGACATATGGTTCGGACTTCTAGCGGTACATTTCGTCGGAAAAGGAGCATTCGGCGACGCATAATTTATTTTTGCAATAACTGTTTTTTTTTACGTTGTATATATATGATGTTTTGTTCTATAGGTACGTACTTTAAATGTGCCAATTTGCCGCGGGGGCTATATTTCTCGTTCGATTCGGTGGCGAGAAAATTCACAGTGACTCCCGCTTCTGCATACATTGCGATCATAAGCGGGCTCATCGATAGTTGATCTGTATACTTAATTAATTACACACCGACATATTTTATTTTTGTGAAAACGGTTGTTTATAAGAAGGTACGACTTACACAACGGTGTAAATTATAGTGCGGAAAGTACGGTCTATGTTTAGGAAAGTTCAATTCCCTCGTGCACTCTTTTGCACGTGTAAAAAGGGCAGGAAAGGACCTTGTCTCGTCAAATAGTCATATGATTGTTTTTTTTTCAGCAGAGATTTGACTAAAATTAAAAGGCGTGTTTAAAGTTTTGACAACACACACCTGAGCGTGTGTTAGTAAAAAGCAAATTCAGTTACTTGGTCGGCGGTGATTATTATCATATCATCTTCCGATAATATTAAAGCATTCTTTGTTGAAAAAAAAGCAACGCAGGGACGGCTGTGCACATATGTAATGAATCACATCGCTTGTTGCGTTTGCCAGAAAATTCAAGCCAATGGACACACCTTTAACAAACTCCCCCTCAGCGAATATGTTGGTGGTAGTTCGTCTGATCACAAATAATGAGGCAAAACTAATACAGAAAAATACGAAACAACAACAAAAAGATATAGCTTCGCTCGCAGACAACATGTGTCAGGAAAAAACCAGACACAATGCTATCACAAGCAACCTATGACGAATTTTAAAGCACACTTCGCTCGCCAAATTATGACTAGAGTTCCGTGTTTTCAGTAAATAAACCACAATTTTTTGCCCGAAACCTCCCCCCCCCCCCCCCCTCTCTCTCTCTCGCTTTCGAATTCGTTGAGAAATAAACCCCGAAAAAACGGAACATTACTTATGTACGACGTATCTAATCCGAAGTCTTAGCTCCGAAAAGACTGTAAGTGCGCAGGTGAGCTGGTGGCAGCTAATCATGTCGTTTAACACATGAGACTGTGGTGTAGAAAAGGAAAAAAAAAAAAAAAAAAAAAAACTTTTAGTCGAAGAAACGCAGGAGAGAACGTCTCAAACTCAACTAACTGGTTTATTTCTCAAGCGTCTTTATTATATACCCACACAGCCACTCTCAACCACCTTCCACGCAGAGATCTCCTTTGTTGAAAACAATTTTCAAATACGAAGGACATACAGATCGTATGTTCTGTATGTTCCAAGAACGTACGTTCTTTGTATTTGAAAGTGCTTTTAACAGAGGAGATATCTGCGTAGAAGTTGGTTGAGAATGGGCTGTGTGGGTATATAATATAGACGCTTGAGAAATAAATCAGTTAGTTGAGTTTGAGACATTCCCTTCTGTGTCTGTTCTTTCGATGAAAGGTTTTTCTTTTCTGCGCCACCGTTTCAGGTGTTAAACAACACCTTATCTTAGCACACACAAAAAAAGTATATATATATATATATATATATATATATATATATATATATATATATATATATCTTATTTCTTGAACTCGCATCTGTTTTAGGAAACGTGCTCATTTCAGAAACCTTGAATAGGCCTTACCTGCTCGTCACTACTAACGCTGGACAACGTCTTTACTCCACCAGTACACTTGAGGTACCAGAGCGCCCACAGAAGAGATACGTTACCAGCATTGCCGTGTATCCTGCCTCTTGAGCGGTCTACTAAAGTGCGCACCGCGAGCCTGAAACAAAAGAATATTTATCAAGCAACAATAACGTCGCAGGCTTTTTTTTGTTGTTGTTGTACAATGTCCTTGAAAAAAAGAAATACGGTGTTTTTGCTTACTGCAAAAATAAGCTACGCATCGCCGTACTCTTGTTCTCCGCCCAAATGTAGCGATAGTGGTCCGGACCGTATGCCAAAGTTTCATGACTAACCGTTATCCTCTTCAGAAGTTATAAATGATACTCTGAAACTTTCAATTGGTGTATGAGACCGGTCCCAGTCTATAGTCTGCGCTAACGTATTCGTGCGCTTAATGCGCGCTTAATGTATTCGTCGTGTGCTTCGTCGGCTACTATTTTCGCACTACCATTTTTCCGTCACATGCGCAAAAATAACTTTTATATCTAAATAAAAAGAATGAACACGTACCGAAACCATAGGAAATTAACACGTAATACCTGTTTTTTTTTTTTGTGTGTCTCTGTCCTGGATCGCTGTTTTTTTTTTTTTTCGTTCGTTATGTCTGCGGTCTACCAATTCACCCATCTTACTACCATACCGCCACTACCGTTCCGCTTTCATCTTTTTAAATAAGTGCAGTGCATACCTTGACCAGGTTTGTCTTTCATAAAAGGACTGCAATGTCACGTTGTCCCATTCTTGGGCGTGTCCACATTTCCAGGGGTCTTTCACTGAAATCTGAAAAAAAAAAGACATTAAAAACATGCATTTTGCATTCAGTTTGCATGTGGCGTAATAATGCAAGCCCAAAAATCTGCTGCATGATAAGATAGCTGTCTTCACTAGGCACGCACTTCGGTTAACCATGAACAAACGAAAAGCATTCTGATGCCACGCACGAGCACGGGGCATTAAAACTGATTTTTTTTAAAAAACGGGCTCTTGTAATATTTTTTTTTTCAGAGCCACGTGAGAAATTGTGAGGTGGGAATTTATAATCGATGTCACATATTACTTTATTTTAACTTAGTTTTACAACTTGAAAGTTAGTTCTGTGCAAAACCTAAACTAACATCGGTGTTCATCGAAGTGCTACTAAACTTGAAACATGCTAACAAACTATACATTACCGTCTCCATCATCTTGTCCATCTTGCGTACGACGTTGTTGATGTCGCATCGGACGAGCGGGTTCCAGGATTCGGATTGCGTCGTATCATCTACGGATGCCATTTCCTGCACGCATCACATTGGATGCCGTGAAAGACCAGACAAAATAATAATTCAAGGAGTATGACAAATAAACAGTCGAACACTTTTGTATTTTCGTTCTACCAGTTTGACACCGAGTCATGGTCTCCTCGTTTCTCCCGCCAAAAGTAGCAAGAACAAAAAAAAAAAAAAAAAGATGTGGTTCGGCGAGCTGCCGCTTGGTTATCTTTTTGGCACTGCCTTCAGAACTTCTTCGATTTCCCCTGCAGCTCCTCCTCCCCCTTTTACTGCAACCACGCGGATTTACTGCAAATGGCGGTTAGGCTTAATTATATTCAGGCAAGATTTTTCCCAGCCTTCGACAAAGAAATGCGCGATTAGTATTTATTTATTTGTGTATGTTTATATATAACGATAGGACTCCTCACTTCACTGAAGCTGCTGAAGCGAACGCTCTTGAGGTCCGAGAAGCTTGGGTAGGTCTCCACGCCCAGTGCGTGAGACAGTCGAAGGACATGGTTCATCGTGGGACGCACATAGGAGCCGCCAAGTTCTGCGTACCCTACAACATCGCTCTGAAACATAATAAAAAAAAAACAAAAAAACACTGCTATGCATTTATATAATTTACACCGCGGCACACAGTATTTCGATCTCACGCACGTCTGAACTATCGCGGGAGTGGAACGCGAAGTTTGTGCGTCTGTTGCGGTCGCACACCCCAGCTCTGACCACGGTGCTTAAGATGTGCTTTGACCCAGCTATTTCGCGACTCCCCGTTTCTTTCGAAGTACGTTCTTGTCCGTTTCTCTCTCGCCCCTCGGCACATGTTTGCCATCGTATGTGAAAGCTCACTCGCTCAACATCTACCAGATAACGGGACCATATGGTGCTGGATTTTCTACATCAGCTACCGTAGCCTTCCGTCTGGACGTCAGCGTTCAGCTGTAACTCGTGTAAAATCAGCGAGGACACGTGTTCCACCCGAACAATGACGTCACAGTCGTGTCCAACCTGTGACGATCCAGTCATCTGACACATTTTGTGTTAAAAAAAAATGGGTGCATGTTTGGTTATTTCTGCGAAACGCATTTAAATGCGGTAGCTTTATAAGGTGGGTGGGTGGTGGCCTATTCGTCAGGGGCACACCGCACCCGTCCAGTGCACTAAACTCTTTCCACTTTAGTACACGAAAAGCTGGTGGAGAGAGAAGGAAGCTCCCCTCTCCCCTCTAGCCTTCCTTGTACCACGAACCGCACTGCACCGGTGCGATGCGGACCCAGAAGAATTGGCCATTAGTAGTGCTCTAGGGCAGATATTTGTATGGAAACAGATTACATCACACCACTGTTTCTTTGTGACGCTGCGCGCGCTTCCCTTCAGCACCACTCGGATACAGAGCCTTTGCGCTGAGTTTTCTTGGTCAGAAAGGGAAGCTCGCTTTCTTGTCTTTTCCATTCATCCTTTTTCCGCGCGCTCTTTCTACACCACTTGTTTCTGCTCCTTTCTTTTTTGCCCTTTCCAACCCTATCCGCTCCGCGCACTTTTCTCATACCACTGGCTTCTGTTCTTCCCGTTCCTGCGTTCCGGGCCCGTAGCTCAGTGAGCAGCGCCCTTCTGCTTCCGGCGCGCGCGGAGCACTGGCGCAAGGGTGCCAGGCTCCGATGGAGCGGCAATAGCTGCCCTTTGGGGCCGCGGTTTTGCTGCTGCTAACCTGGCCCTGGATAATCGGATTGTTTTGCCTGTCCTACGCAGGAGCGTTGCCTCTTTGAGCACCCTGTTTCTGCACTGCGAGGTCGCCGGGAGGACTTACAGGATTGCGGATTTCAAAACAGGACTCCAGACTTCAGGCGTGCTGCAGGAGCTCAAGGCATGTGAGCCGTACCAGATGAATCACTTCTGGGCGGTCACATTCTATACCCAGTCTTCAAAGAACAAGCTGCTGGAGCTGAAAGAGCTCTGGTTCAAGGGCCGGCGCTGCCTGGTGTACTGGACCCGACCAAGGCCGAAGTTCGGCTCAAGGTTCATTGGCTGCCCAGTGAGGTTCAGGACGACATTGTGCGGAAGGCCTTGGAGCCCTTCAGCAGGGTGGAAGGAGTGGGAGTCCTGGCGTGTGGCCAAATCGACCACACGTCGGGTACGCTTGGCGCTCAGGGACGGTGTGACGACGGACGAACTGCCCCACCGGCTGCGGATCCTCAACGCCAACGCGCTGGTTATCGTTGCAGGTAGGCTCCGATGTACTTGAGGTGCCAAAAAACTGGGCACGGTCGCTGAGACTGTCGGGTGCCGCGCTGCAATTCGTGTCGGACGTTCGGACATCTCACGGAGGACTCCACGCAAATTAACGTACGCCTCAGTCACTGCCGAAACTCGTGAGGATCCCTCTTGAGGATCTTACGATGGACGAGGAAGAGGCCGAGGCCTTTGTTGGTGAAGCAGAACCTCTGACGGCGGTGCCTGGGCAACGGCTCGACCCCAGCAGCGCGGAACAAGCGGGCACGTTATTATGCACTCCTGGACAGTCGCCAGAAGCACACTCCCAGGCCAGCGCTGCGAAGGAAGGCGAAATATCGGACTCCAGTCAAGGTGAGGTGCTGCAGAAGAGCACGACGTCGGTAAAAGAGCGGTGTGGAAACGGGGGGGACTATACGAAGATACTGTCATAGATGTCTCAACCGGCACCACTGTCAAGGGGCCTTTGAAGTTGGCAGAGAGGTGAACGTGCGGACGAGGACGAGCCTGGATTGTCCGATCACCGTCCGAACTATCCCAATGTGAAAAACCGAAGAAGCAGTATCGCTGTGAAACTCCACGCCCCACGGGACGGCCGGCTGCGACCCAGCCCGAAGTAGGTTTGCAGACAATTGACTTACGGTGATTTCGTATTTATTAAATGAATTTGAGAGTTTTTTTGTTTTTCGAACAGCGTTTAAGCTCAAAATTGTAACGCTAAATTGCGTCAGTTTACTTCTCATGAGGTTTAAGCAGTGGATCCTGAACACGCTCCTCAAAGAGCTAGCAGATGTTGCGTTATTACAGGAAACAAAGCTTGGCACCCGTACATGTCGAGCACGCGACAAAGTTCTTCGAGCGTCTTTTTGAGTTTCGCTATCCTAGCGCGATCTCGCACAGCGCTGGCACGGCAATTCTTGTCCGCAAGAACAAGGGCTTTTCTCTCTTTTCAGAAGGGGGAGCAGACCGCAGCGAAGTATGGGTGGTAAACATGCAGTGTCATAGCAAAGTGTTGAGAGTAGTGTCGAGGCCGGTTCCCACACGCAGTGGAACATATAGCGCTGGTCACATGCCGTCCGCGTCGTCCGCCATGAGCAACTGTTTTGACGGTGCGATACAAATCTGGTGAACACTCCCGTCAGCACGCGCGTAGCGAAAAGTCTCCTCTGTATGTGTAAACAGGCCTTCAGTGCACGCTCCCAACGAACCCGCGGAAAGAAAAACGTTCTTTGAAAACTTAAAGCAATACGTTGAAACACCTGCAAAAGTTATAGTCGTCGGGGATTTTATTGTATTCTATAAATGCCAAAGACTGCTCGCGTGGTCTAAAGTCCCTAGATGAGAGCTTCCTACAAGTAGCGACATTCTTTGAAACGCCGACTGCGTGACCGTGCAGGTTTTAGGAAGCGAATGGCGGCGCACAGCAGAGGTTTGAACTGAATGCCGCCATTTTATTTCAGAGGAATGTGCTTTGTCATTTCTATTGGTTGTCGTTACTATTGATGGACCGAATCTACCGATCCTCATATTCGGCGAAGCTCGGCACATGCCGAACTTTTGAAGGAAAGTTCAGCAAAGATTCGGCAAAAAATCGGCAAACGTGTGCACACGCGCGAGAACGCGACGGGGCCGTAGATCGCAAATGGACGCCATGCTGTCGTGCGGTCACCATCCTGCAGTGTACTAGTACTACCAGCGGTTATGGCGAGGTGCGGAGTAGTCGACATGGTAGCGGTGTGTTTTTCAGCCTTTGGGAGTGCGGTTCTCTTCCATATTTTCTGCCTCAGAAGATCGACCAGAAATTGACGCAAAAGCGACGCTGTCCACTGCGCAAGTGACAAATAATGCGGTACATGACGTGATTTTCATTTGATCTTTCCAGTGATGCTACGAGGTAGTCTCAAAGCATTGACTGACAAGTTATTTAAAACACGTTTTGCCATTATAGCAATCCTGTTTTCGGCTCACGAGTAGTTTGTGCCAAAACAAAATAATATTGTGTTTCAATTAACGCTATTTTGCGGTTTTTGTCTATCCACATAAAACTAAACAGAGAACTATTAAGCCCGACGTTGCACATCCGACATTCCTAACTTCTCCCATCTTCCTAAACGCCCGGTATGTCCTAACATCAGAAACCGGCATTTTAAATGTTGAAAACGAGACTTCGTCAAAATTACCTGAAACACACAAAGAATGACACCGATACAATTATCTTGTAGAATATCACCTTATTTAGTAATAACTGTATATATACTGTATATATATATATATATATATATATATATATATATATATATATATATATATATATATATATATATATATATATATATATATACACAGTTTTTTGCACGAAAAAAAAACTATATATGAATATTTAGGTCTGGCAACAATGTAGTTTTGCCGAATTTTTGACGAATCTTTAGAACGTTCGGCAAAAATTTGTCTTTGCGAAATCCTGAGATTCGGCACCGAATTTTTCATTCGGCAAAAGTTCCACCCATCACTAGTCGTTACTTGCAAAAAGAGGTATCAATAGACTTTAGGCTGTACATGGACCACACACAATCAGTAAAAAGCCATGACTTTACGTGACGTAGCAATGCCGCGCGACATCACAGTGCCTCGTGACGTCCTTGTGTGGAAGGTGACGTAATGATATACGTGCCCCGACATCACAATGTCACGTGGCACTGTGACGTCATGCTACCCAAGACGTACACGAAATACCCCAGAATTAACTGCAAAACCCCGCCCATAACAACTGTTGCCCTAAAAGAATTTTTTTTTTTTTGGTAAGCGCGTGTGACTTTTACCTGGACGGTGTGGGTGCGCCCTCCGACCCTGTCTCTCGCCTCCAGCACAACGACATCGACTCCTTGCTCGGACAGCAGCTTCGCTGCAGCGAGACCTATAGAGTGGAAAGGAACATGTACTATATACAGTCGGCGGCAGTAGGAACGGAGACTGCCGAATGCCAGCAGAAGGGAGCAAAATGCCGGATCGTGTCCCCCGGCATGGCCAGCCATGGGGAACTGCCACAGTATACGAAAACAGGGAATGTGGCAGTCCATTGCAACCTGCTTCGGGGCTCCTCAGCATGACATTTGTTGCCGCACGGGCTTGACGACGCTGGGCCATCTGAGCCGTCCCGCAGTGCTCTCCGTAACCCGCTACGAGATCGAGAGCCCTGCAGACGAGGCTAGTGCCGCGCGTGCGCAGTGGTGGAGTCATCGTTGCGGAGAGCGTAGCGGAAGGGACATAAAAAAACTGTTTTCAAAAACTTCCTAATAGCAAGTGTTTTCTTTCTTTCTTTTTTTATATTCTTGTACGTGAAAGAATGTCTTCGCGATTTCACCTTGCACCGCGGAGCTCGCGCCCCATCGTGTTTAGAAGCCAGGCGCTTCGAAAGGTGCTTCTCTCTACCGAAAGAAAACCTCGACCCTAGCATTCTCCATATGCAATAAAAAAAAAAAAAACCGTTTTGAATTAGGTATTGAGAAGACGACGCCTGTAGGGACCATACCACATGATACCTATAATAAAATTAATATTTGTGACAAAATAAACAAAATAAAGATAAACCGTTATTATCTATGTCGAATATGAATAAGACAGAAATAGTAACAGCAATCTTTCGCGAGTGACAATACAGTAGCTAGCGTTTTTTTTTTTTTTATTTGACGATGATGTCTAGTTGCGAAATGCAGTGATTCGCCGCATTCACATAAACATAGCCGTTTTGTTTGAGTGAAAATATTCACGCAAGCGCGTGCTACGGGTCTGTAAAGAGTGATTCTCGATCCCTGCACAAATGCCGCTCAGCTATGGGGAAAGCCACAGCGCGAGGCAGTTGAAAAGTGCAAAAAGGTTGTGCGGGCTCTCAACTAATAAAGCAACTCAAGAATGTACGTACTTGCAGCATTTGTATACCGAATATTAACTGAGAAGTACTTGGGTCGCGTTCCTCGCCATATGCGCTTCAGAGCTTAACATCGTACACAGGTACTTGTAGTTCCAGCAGTTGGTAACAGGGGAAAACTACCCGACTACATCAAACTCAAACGTCAAAAAAAAAAAAAAAAAAAAAAAAAAAAAAAAAGGCAACAAGAAAAAAAATTTGCCAAGCGTTATGACGGTGTGCTGCGGGGAAACGCTCCCAACGCAAAAGCAGGGAAAATCCATTACGGTTTCAGGCGTTTCAGGCCAGGAAATACAGTGGTAGCCCTTCCGAGGTTCCGGAAATTTGTATCTAAAGGCTCGATTACACACTTGCGACTGCTTACGAGTCACGACCGTGTGCTCTAAAACCTCCTTAACTCTCTTATGACGAGAGGACACACTGAAGCCATCTATCGAGTAGTCGTGGAACACTTGTCATTTCCGTTTTTTTTTTGTGCCTGTTCTTTTTTGCTCGGGTTGAAAAGCTTTTGACAATGTTATAAAAAGACCCCTGCTTATCCGCAGATCACCCGCGGATCATCCTCGGATATCCGCAGTAAACTGGCGGATGCGGATAAAAATAAATCAGATTTGGCGGATTGCGGATCGAATGCGATTATCCGCGGGTCCGGATCTACATTTTCGCCTAGTAACTCGCCAATACTAGAGTAACAAGTTAAAGCCGGTTCACACACTTACTACTGCTCAAGACCGGATAGGATTAAAAATGGACTGTTTGCGCAGTCGGTCGTAGTCGAACGCAAGTGTGAACCAGTCTTTACTGAGCGAGCTTTTGCCATCCGCTCCGAGACGATGCATTCGGCTGGCGTGCAGGAACTCGATATCTGCGACCAATCAGTAGCTCTGCGTTACGCCGCGTTTGCTACGCTCGACGTAGGAGCATATAACGGAGCTTTTAGAGCAGGCTCGAGTCATCATCTCGCGTTTCTTGTTGCAGCTTTGGACAGTCTTTGTTTTGCGAACGCGGGAGATTGAGTGCTCTCCGAGTATCGTACAGGTGGCGTCTGCCGTACACACTTTCGCCCTCGATACGAGACAAATGTCACGAGAAACCTGTGCAGGAAATGTCACGGCGCCGCGATAGCTCCCGCATGATCAGTGCTACGCCGCCGTATACGCTTCGGAGGTTTTGCGTTGCGTCGCAATTAGCATTACCAGGTCAGTAATCATTACTAACAGGCTTCGTGAGCACCACAGCGATATTTATTGTACCTTACAACAAGAAAATTTACAGAATGTAGTGCTACAACCACGACGGCTGTGCTAGTCGGTTACAGGTCAAGAAGGTAGGAGAAGCTCCTCCCACAAGCGTGATGCGCCCGTTTCAAATCCCTCCGCAGTCGAAAGAAGAGTTCACTGGAAACGCTCCTTGTTCCGCTTCAAGGGATAGATATTGGCAACAGAGTGATGCCAGCTTGTCTCCGATCCCACTTTTTAAGAACGATACCTTTGTATTCATCGGAGGGGGAACCGAGCCCCTGAAAGCAGCCTTTGTATCCATCGGAGGGGGAACCTAATCCCCGAAAGTCGTATTTGTTTTTATCGGAGGGGGAACACTCTAATCTCCCTCTCGGGGCTTCCACAATGCTAAGTCAAAGTCGAAAGATAAAGCAAATATGTACAGGAAGGCAAGACCCTCCTCGCGCGTTGGCCGCGACGTCACGGAAACGATGGGACGCTATTGGATGCGGAGGTGGCGGAGGGATATCTGATTCCCTTTGAGGGGCATTTGCCGCTACCTTCTTGACCTGTAACTTACTATATCTAACCTAGCCTACCCTACCGGTAGAATTTACGGGTCAGGGGCTTGGGGGAGGCGGCAGACGTTTGGCTGAGGAGTTCTGCAGAGAGATTTGACGTACGGTTGTGACGTTAGGGGCGGAATGCTGCTTAGATCTATTTCGTTGACCTAATGTTTGTCATTTTAATAAACACTTTACATTCATTCCTTAAAAAGTGGGTGCACGTCGTTTCTTCCATAAGGAAAGTTGCCTTTAGGGTGCTTAGGGGGAAGGGGGGGGGGGGGGGGGGGACTCTCTTTTGTCTCCTTAAATCCGCCCCTGACCTAACCTAAGCATTCCTTGTGTAGACCACAACACTTTGAATTTTTCCGTCCAGGCTCACGTCCTTAGGTGTTTACAAAAGTCAGAGTTTGCTGTTTAAATCGCACGGTAGCGCTTACGTGATTGCGTACGATCGAGACTGCAATAGTTAGTGTGATTGAAACCAGTGCTACACGCAGCGTGGCACTTTATGCGCGAGGCCTACATAGATTTGATTTACTTTGCACCCTTAGGGGCTGACTCAAACGCGGAAATGCATCTTTAAAGAATAATCTCACCGCTGAGTCCGCCGCCAATGATCAGTACGGTTGTCTTGTGAAGCTCAGACGACATATTTCGCGTCAATTGCCTGGAACGGAGTGCAGATGAACCCGTTCCTGGGATGCGCGTGCGAGTATACGCCGCTATACTACAATAAAAAAAAAAAAAAAAATTACAAAGCGCAGCTGCGTTCTACTTTTTTATGATTTCCGCTGTCAGTAAAACGTTTGACAGAAAAGGGAAAATCTTCACTACAGCAGTCGTTTGTGTTTTGTTTTTCGACTCTTTATAAGTAGAGCCCAGCATATCTGCGGATTAAGTTTGGATCATCCGTGGATATCCGCAGTAAACTGACGGGTGGGGATAAAAATGAATCAGATTTGGCGGATTGCAGATCGCATGCGGATGCTAGGGGCTGCGAATGCGGATCGGATACGGATATGCGCAAAGCCAAATCTACTTTTTTTTTCTTTTTTTTGCCGAGCTGGTTTATAGACGGGCATGCGGGCTTGACGTACGTCACGGAGTTGCGGCGGCGCTGCGATCGCGCCGGAGCCGAGTGGTGTGGGCAGAAGGGCGCGCGTTTTGCACGGGCGTCATAGCCTTTCAGCATGCCGCAAAGCTGTGTAGCCGTTAATTGCACCGAAAGGTACAGGAAAAGTAGCGGAGTAAGTTTCCACAAGTTCCCGGCTGACTCTGAAAGGTGCAGAAGGTGGATAATATCCGTGGATCGAAACTAATGGTCGCCTCGCGCGGACGACCGTTTGTGCGGGAAGCACTTTCTTGGAGGCCAAGTGTGGCTTCCATTTCAATCTCCGTCCCGAGGCTTGCTTATGTGCAGGGAAAGCGTCGTCTTATCGAAACCACCCAGATTTCGTTGTTACGGTGTTCGCGCACAAAGCACCGGCCAAGCTCCTTGTTGGTGGCTCGCTTCCAGTGCTGGCGGCAGCGCGTTACAAGTAACGGCGTTGCTGGTAACGCGTTACTTTTTCTGTAACGTAATAACGCGCTCGTTACTTTCTCAAGACAGTAACGGGGAACGTACTTACGCTACTTATTTCGAATAGCGCGTAGTACTAGTTACGTTACTCGTTACATATTCTTCCCAAGACCTGAAAAAAAAAAGTAATTTTTTTATTGCTTTAATTCACTGTCTTACCTTCAGCCCAGACGCAGCGGACGCTACGTGCTGATGGAACCAATTGACAGCGTCAAAAACACCATCATGGTGTCCGTCATATTTCTTCACGTGTTCTACCATCGCTGAATCAATCATAAACAAGAAAGACCCAGTGACTCGCTCTTTTGACGCTGCTTGACTGGTCCCATTAGGTCGTAGCTTCGACTGCGTCATTAATTATTGCACTACACTACACTTACGTTCAAAATTTTGCTTGTCTTTTCCCCATGCAAAAAGTCCCACTTCGCAAAAACCCTGTTAAAAAACGCTGTCGCCAAAACAAACAAAACAGACACTGTTAGTGTCAATTTATAAATAAAAGCTAATTGAAAAGTAACGTGCGTTACTTTTTAACGGTAACGCTTTTCTTTTATTTTGAGGTAACGTAGGTCGGTGACGCGTACCTTTTATTCGCAAGTAACGAGTAACGTATTTCGTTACTTTTTTTTTTCGGTAACGCATACAACACTGCTCGATACGCCCGTGCTAGCTACCAAGCGGAAA